ATGTATGTATGTATGTATGTATGTATGTATGTATGTTTTTTATGTATGTACGGGTATTTATTACTTTGATTGGGCTCCAATTAATTTGTTTGGGCTACAATTCGGTTTGGTGTAATCTGTCTCACAAGCCCTTCTCTTTTGCTGTTTTCTCCATTCTCCTTAATTCTGTGGGTTACTAAGACCCACTGCAATGCATCACAATCCAATTTTAATTTAGCACCGGCACCGAGCGCTCAGTGTAGTTAAGACACACTGGCACGCCAACACGCACGTGAACACATAAAAAATCTCACTTGCCAAGGTGTCAAGGCAGTGATGTTTAACAGTAGCTCATGAATATGCGGAGCACATTAGCAAAGTATTAAGTAAAGACTCGGGTGCTTTGAAGTCATCCTCCTCCTGTCTTGTCTTCTTTTTTCTCTCTTTCTCCCAAACTGTCTCCTGGTAGATTTCCTTTTATCCACCCATCTTTCTGTTACCAGTATCCGCTCTCTTATCCTTTTTCGCACACTCTGGCTGGAATGGCAAATCAATGCACAAGTCCCCACTGAGGGTGCACACTCCCTATTTTTTTATTCTCCATCATTTTTAACAGCCTGAACTTAGAGTTGCCATGGCAACAGAGGGAGCAGGGATGGAGAGAAAAAAGGGTGCCTCCTCTATTGAGAGGGGGCATTGCAGAGAGAAGGAGCAGCTGTTAAGATATTAGGTAGTTTTGAGGACGAAAATTAGTGGGACGTGGACATGGTGCTTGTCAGAAAATTTTGCCAGAAGAAAATTTGATTTAAACATTGGGCACATTAAAGGAGGAATAATAAAAGGACTAATAAAAACAGATTTGATCACTGTCTGTTGTTTTAGGTTCGAAAACCAATATCCCAAGACAATATACAAGGTTTTAACATGGGTAAGCAAAGTGATTGAAAGTGGTTTAAGAAGAAAATAATGGGTAAGAGATGCAAGAATAGGAAACAATATCTTATGGATCTAAACAGGATTCATTGTGTCTTCCCTCCCCTCAGTTTTTCTTTTTCTCAATTTAGTGTTTAGACTTTGGCCACCAGCCATTGCTGGGACCATGAGCAGATCATGGGTGGGCGATGGAAAAAAAAAGAATGCTTTGAAGCACAAGCTGTCTCTGTTTCTGAATGTAAATTTACACTCCATATCTGTCTCAATCCTCTCTCATCACAGAATGCAGATGACTTGCTGGTGGCGTCAGCTGAGTGTCCGAGTGATGATGAGGACATTGAACCATGTGACCCCAGTTCAGGTAAGAGCCATCTACAAACACTTGCTTTGCTGCCCATTTTGAGCTTGTTTTTTTATGTTTTTGATCCGATGCTTTCACAGTCATTGTCACACAGTTTTCCTTATCTACTTCCCCAGTCATGGCCTATATGAATTTTTCATATCTATTGTAGTTTCTGCCTCCAGGCACCACTTTCCATCTTTAACCCGATCTTTATCTTTGCTTTTGCCTCTTATCTTCTCTTCATTCTTTCTTCTATCTGTTCTTTCCTTTCTAAACCTTTTGTTTGATTTATTCCCTTCTTTTTTCTTCATTCAATCAAAAGAAAAAAACCCAGAAAGAATCCGTTTGCAAATGGCAATTCAAACAATCATTTAGGTTCCTGTCAAATGCTGCAACCCTTTGCTGCCTGTTCATACCATAAATTGTAATAAATGTAATATTATGGATATTAATACATGATACACAATCAGCTTTCACTGAAAGCAGCTGCTCTCCCTTCCCATTATACAAAATTTGTGTCAAATAATTCAGCATGATGGCGCATTTTGCCTTCTTACTGTTCCACCTGACACTTTACCATGTATTCCGAGTCAGTAATGTTTCCTCTCCTATCCGTTTCCCTACAGCCCGACCTCCTGTGACAGAGATTAAGGTGTTCCAGGGTCCATCTGAAGTGGTGCGAGAAAGCAGCAGCACCACAGGCATGGTGGTGGGCATCGTGGCAGCCGCTGCCCTCTGCATACTGATCCTCCTTTACGCCATGTACAAGTATCGCAACCGTGACGAAGGCTCTTACCACGTGGACGAGAGACACAACTACATCAGCAACACAGCCACACAACCCAATGGCAGTGCCAAGGACAAGCCACTGGGCATCCCTAAGATCTCCAAGAACAAGAAGAACAAAGACAAGGAGTACTATGTCTGAGACAGACGACTCCCGAGACACAGACATATACGCATACACCTTTATATATAACGGTATATGTACATAAATAGATATATTCTCAAAAAAAAAAGAAAAACAGACTTATACTCATGGACAAAGACATACTGATGTTAACGTTTACTCTCCAGTAATCACACCCGCACACATGCTGGCAAGCACAAACATACACAAAAAAGCTCACACATACATTTAAGCACAAACACACAGACTGGCCTGAGGGCATGGACCTTCGCTGTACAGTATTTACCAATGAGCAAAGCCTCTGACAGAGGCTTGTTTTATGAGCATAAACACCATTCCAAATGTTTTAGGAAGCACCAGTTCAGCGCCCACTTGTGAACCATTTTTGGGGCCCGTCCGATCAAAAGACCAGATACCCCTGTGCAACAGCAGGACCTCTGCTCGGACTGCAGGAGGTGGAGAAAGACTGTTAGCGAAGCACATGGCAGACTCAGTGTGTTGAGTGAGCAGCAGCGCACCAGAATAAAGATGATGTACAAGCACTAAGACAAGCACCAAGTGTCTCTTCCAAGCTTCTTGGCCTTCCTCCCTGTTAGCAGACCGGACTCGATGAAGCACAGTGGATGCTGAGGAAACAAGCACACCAATGGTTCAAGTCTATCCCCAAGCAACAGGCCGGGAATTTGTTGTGTAGCCATAGAGACAGGGAGTTACGAGTAAACCGGCAGAGGCGGGGCTGGTGCACATTAATGTAATGGATTGGCTGAGAGCTCATGTTTTTTACTGCGCCCTGTAAATCATTAAGGTGGAATCAGTGGAAACTCAGAGATATTTTCCTGGAGACTTCAGATGCTACCTACAGGCACCAGTTGTGCATGACTGCAGTGTCACATATAGACGTACAGCATACATGCACACACAAAAATAAAACAGTCTACACGTGCGGACAAACATTTACCGGCAATGCTAAAGACATCCAGTATCTTCATCACCGACTCTGAAGACTATATGAGAGGACAGAGCCAAAAATGATCATTATGATAATTGTCATGGCAATGATAATGATGAATATGAAGAACTTTTGGGCAGTATAGACTCTGGGTAAGGGAGGGATGGGGGGGAGGGGTCTTATTGCACGTGAATTATCTTACTCCGTGTGATTTATACTGCGTTGAAACTTCAGAGGTTACACCAATGACACAAGACCATTCTAAAGTACCACCTTGGCTTGAAGTATTCCTAAATCTGCTTTTCAAATGGTTTCCAGTGATGGTTTTCAACAATGATTTAAGTCTCTGAATCACCTCTCAGTTCAAATCTTTATTGACAAAGTGTGACCATCTTGAGTGTGCTGCATGCCCGAGTATCTGAGCTGTGCTGTGGAGTGGTGGTGGTTTTTCTGTGGGGGAAGGAGGAGGGTGCCGCGGGTTGCAATGTAACCTGACACCTGAAAGTGTGTGCCTAACCACAGGCCATGTCTTGTTTTCTTGCCTGAAAGTCTTTTAGGCCACACCCACTACACCTGCTCTAACCAACCACCTTTTTTTAAAGGAGAAACCAGCTGAGGAACAGGATAAAAAACAGAACAAAGTAAATGTCAATATATGTTGCTCATAGATAGAAATCGCCGCTTCTCTATGCCACTGGCTATAAGACAACTTGAGTTGCTTTGATTTTATTGGCTTTCCCCTCTTTTACTCTCTGTTTGCATCCATGCCACCCATGTTGTTGGTTAGCTGATCCATTCATAAATCAAATATTCTGGCATGACCAATATAGGTCAGTAAGATTGGTTTCCTTCGGGCCGATGTATAATTATTTCTTTATGGACTTTTGCAGTGTGTTTAACCCTCTACAGCTCATGAATTGTAGCCCTATAAAATAACATTACAAATAGTGCCATGACATGAATAAGCCCCCCCCAGTTCTTCCAACAATGTAACTAACTAGGTGGATGCATGCAACATGGACCAGGGCAAGGAGCAACGTGAAACGGACCGTGTGATATGTGAGAATTCAATATATTGTCGAAATTAACATTTCCCTGTATTCTGTCCATCTGTGTCTGGCCTTATTGACCTCCTATTCTCCCTTTTCTCTTTTTTAAATATGCTCTCCTGTCTCTGTTCCTCCATGTCCATCGCTTTCTTTTCCCTTTACTCTGTTGTGTTGCCATTTGAAACAAAGGAGGTGTCTAAACCAGTGGGATTCTACATCTTGGTGTTCATTAACCATGTTTATTTTCTATATGTACAATTTTTCTACAGTATTTACTTTTATTTTTATTGTTACGGTTCTTTGATGAACATAAAGTGGAAATTTATTATGAAAAATAGTTTTGAAGATTAATGAGTAAATAAAATATTACCCAAGTGAGCCTTGAGTGTGTCTGTGTGCTCTGGAAATAAAAAGATGTAGATTCAGAGTTTTCATTTGTCCACTGTATGAGACAAAAATATATATGTAAACTTATATATATATATTTATAAAGAGACAGAGAGAGACATATTATATATGTATATATACTAACCAACCAGAGGTTGTGTATGCTACTTTCTTCTCCTTTTGTTTCATCAAAATACGAGAGTGCCACCTATTTCTGCTACTTCTGTTTGAGACGCTAGTCATAAATAATCCCTTGTACACACCAAACAAGGCTTTGAAGTATTAGTCAATGCTATAACTGGTATAGGTCTCTGCAGAGTTACTGTTTTCCGGATGAAAGATCCCTGAGACTGCAAAACTGGGTTTGCATCCTCAGGTGAGAGGAGCTACAAGGACTTCGTTACATCAATAAACACCTCCCCAGTCTATATCTTGTTCCTTCGCTGTTTGTTTGTCTTTAACTTTCTTTTTTGTGCTCAGAGAACAGTCTGTGCTCAACAAAAGGTTTGTGTTTGGCTGTAGCCATCTGCTTTTTTTTGCTGTCCTTGAACACAAGCAGCCAGCAGCGAAACAAATAGATAGCCCTGTCGTGTTTCTGGGGAAAACACGAAACAATTTCAACATTAATCGATGTTCAGTCAGCAACGAGAAAAAAAATGGAAATTTTACATGAAGAACTAATCCATATAACTCCCACATTGTATAACATTTAAATTAGTCTGATTATAATTTTAAGCCCTCAGAGTCAAGTCCAACTCAGATGTGAGATCCAGGCAAAATACAGAGGAGGTGAAAATAGTCTTGTCATTGCCCTCCTCTGTCATCACAAGTATTTTTAGATTAATAATAATAGCCATCCATCTTTTCTTTTTCCGCCTATGTATTTCAAGTTGTGTCACAAGGAAGCTGGATCTTATCCCAGCTTAACCCTATTACAGGTTGCCGGTACATCGCAGGGCCTCACAGAGACAATCAGGACAGTCATCCATGCAGGTTCACATATAGTTACTTTAGAGTTAATTAATCAAAAGGGTTTTTGGAGGCTGGGAGGATGCCAGTTCCCAGAGAGAAGCTTGCAAACACATAAGGAGAACTCAAGAACCCTCTTGCTTTAAAGCAACAGTATTTTAAATGATATCGAGAAACAACTACATTTAATTGTCTAATTGAAGATGTAAAAGGTTATCAGGTGATTTGCTTCAATACAATAACTTCTCTCTCAGAATCATTTATGTGTCTCAATCTGTTTTCCACTGTGATTCAATTTATTTGATGATCGTGCCCTAATTTACTATCTGTATTTTTAGAAGCTTGAACCACAACACATTTTCTTGGGGGAGACAATCTCACCAAAAAGCTAGAATGTTATTGAAAATAGAGTAAAATACCAGTAATTATTCTTTGAGATATGTTAGCTTTTGTAGATCATTACATCATCATTTAGAAGTTTGCCCCTGTTGGTATGCTCCATTTCAAATGAGTTCATTTAAAATTAGGTGGATGATCATTTTCCAAATATAAATTTGCTGGGAGAGACTGGAAATCAGACTGGAAGTCTGTCATAAGTAAGGTTTTGGTCTTTGATTATCTCTTATTGCTTGTTTATAGCCACAATTCAGCACATTTGTTAAGTGTGATAAAAATAAAAAAAAGTCCACTATTGTGGGGAGCCAAGAGCAAACTGACGTGGGAGGGAGAAGCAAACCTGGCTATTTTAGTTAGAAGCACCATCACTGATGAGTTTTCCATAGACGTTTCTGAATATATTTCCTGCATTTTAGTTTTTCATTCTAAGGAGCGTTCTGTCCTCTATAGAGCCACTTAATGGCCCTTCATGAGAATTGTTTCCAAGGCAGCAGCATGAAATATCAGCTCATCCCTCGTTGCTGTTCAGATAGTTCTCAATTTGATATTCTTTGTAGCTATATTTGTTTGCTTGATTCACCACGCCCTGGTGATTTCTTTGCTGTTTCCAAGCTAACAACTTTGTGTCAATAACTCTGTCACTATGGCCAGTTCACGTAAAATTAATCTATTCTCACCTGAGCAATTAAATCATAAAGAGTCCATTTGAAATGCAGAGAGTACAGAATACAAAGACATTTTGTGATGTCATCAAAGAAATAAACCACACACCTAATGCTTTATTTCCTTGTCAGTTTATCTGTTCAATTTATTCTGACATGGGCTTTAGAGACTGGTGGAAACATTTAATAGGTTTAAGAGGTTCATTTCTGGGTGAATAAATCATCAAAACAACTTCTGATATTCAGATATTTTCACATGAGAGTCGCATCCAAGGGTGGATCAGAATGCAGAATGCCCAGAAACATGACCATCCATCTTGCAGTCAAAATGTTTTTTGGGAAGTGGGCCTATTTTTGGCATTTGATGGCCTTGTAGAATAAGCAGAGGCCAACATTTTTCTTCCTTTTCTGCGCAGATGTATTAAATCAGCCACGGACTTATCTACAGATTCACATAATAGAGACACTCCAAATGTTTTCCTCTTACTTGGTTTATCTAATTTACCTCTTTCTGTCTGTCCAATCTTGCTCACTTCTTCCTTATATTTATTTTCCATGTAAATGAGCTAGAAACTGGGAGACTTCATTTGCATGTCCACGTGCATGGTTGTGGTTGTGTCCAGAGCTCAAGGCTGCATATTTCCAACAGCTTTAGAATAAATCACAAAGAAGCCTTTTCTTCTGAAATAACTTCCCTGCTCCATGTACAACATACCTTTACAAAAGTCAAACTTATATTAAAAGGGGAGGCATGTTTTTGAAAGAGCTCATTTCAATGAAAAACACTGCTTTGTGAGAGTCTGAGTTGTTGGGAGAATGTGAATGCCGAGTGTCCTTGCAAGCTGGCTGCACGTCCTGCACACAAGTGAGGAGTACATAAGAAAAGAATATTATGTCCATCGTTATCCAACTGTGCTCATCATTCAACACAAATATAAGAAAGAAGACTAAACAGATTTACACCTGGACCCCATAAATGATAAAATCCCCCTGAGTAAGGAGAAAACCCTGAAATATTTGTAACATTAACACCACAAGTGTACCTGACTTGAAACACAGAGACAGAAAGTGTGAAATGTAACATTTAAAAACATGAAGCCTTGAAACAAATACAAAGCATAAAAAAATGTTGTTAGACAAGTCAGCTGCATGATGTAATATAAAAATTTCAAAATGTTTCACTTTCATTAAACATTGAACATTTTAGTAAACAGGTCCTTTATAAACTGTGTGGTAAAATGTAAAGGACAACCTCATCATAACACACACTAATAACACACACATGTGAGCAACCCTGACAGCTACTCCTACTCTTTGTTCAACAATGTCCATAGTCCTTTATTTCATCATTTCCATATAAACAACTGTTTAAATTGCAAGTCTCTGTATTGTAATAAGCAGCTACGAAGAGCAGTTTAAATGATTTGTAAATTCAAATGAATATTTGAAGCAGTGAAGAAAAGAAAAAATGCTTTAATTTAGTGGTCACAGTTCTAGAAGCGTGAAGAGCGCAGCTCAGGCAGAAAAAATTGCAAAAAAGCCAAGGACCCTGAGAGAGGTCGTGGCTGTATTTCACACAAATCAAAGCAAGATCCTCCAAATGGAAAATGCCATCTTCTAGGGAATAGCAGCATTCGCACATAGGCATCATTTATAGGTGCCACTTTTTATTTAATAAAAACAACAGCTCCAGTATATCAAAGTTACGTTTTGACATATTGATAGATATGAGTTGTAAAAAGATGTCTCTTGAGAGGAACAAAGTATTTATTGAGCCTTTCTCAAACTCCAATTCAAAAGGATGAGTGGAAACAGATTTCAGACAGATTAAAGAACCAAAGCAATTTGCCAAACCTAACATCTATGTACTCCTGTGGTGAGTTTTACAAAGTGCACAAACTCATAGACACACATCTCAGAAGAGACCTCCTACATCCCCATACACCCTTGAAATTTTTCACACGCCCCCGACATCCACTGCTGCACGAAAACACGAAAACACCTCACATTTCTTTGTTCTCGAACCTGGGATCAGATCCTGAGCGGATAAACTGACAAACGAACAACAGCTTTGACATCAAACTAGAGTGTGGACTTTGGTGGACCGCTTAAGATGTAAGTTTGAGTGAATACAAGAGCCAAGACAGGCAGAAGAAGAAAAAAACTAGAGGAAAAGTTCAATGCTTTGGACCAAGGCGGAAATAACGGTGGTAATGATACTGATGATGCTCTTGCTGATGTTGATAACTATGACAGTGGCTTCAGTGCCTGGAACCAAAAATGAACTTAAACCCGAATTTGGGACCAGCTTTATCAAACTAAACCTGGGCTTCTGCTACGAAGTGGAATTTGGGATCTCAACAATGCCATCCAACATCTCCAGCAACACATACTGCCTGTAAGTACATGAAAATACCGTCACAGACACTCGTAGATACACAGAAACATCTGGAGCTACTTTTGCCAGCGGCAGTAGTGACGCAGTCATACATGTTACTTGCATGCTTTCCTTCCGATTTTTTTCCATAAGCACTGGTTGGTTCTGTATACATTTCCATGCTAGTTTGTGTTTATACAATGAAGGAATACACTTTCAGAGAAGTGTAAATATGGTTCACCCTGAGAGTATTCCGATGATTAGTCCATCCGTCTCCTCTTTCTCTTCAAAAGTCCAGAAACTCCATCTTAATTTTGTATCCAACCAGCTTCTGTGTTCAATCAAATCTCTGACATCTGGTCTTTTCGATTCTGGAAATCTGAGTGTTCGTATTTGGTAAACTGTCAAAATTGTAGATTTTCAGATTTCAAGTGCTATAAAAAGAAGTTTTGATGTCTCCATTACAGAGATTCTTTTTAAATAGTGTCCTCTGATTATCATTTTCTTACATTCTTTCAAATTCAGAGGGTTTTCAGTGTTTGTCATTGCATGAGCTTGCATAATCATTTAGACTTCATATCTAATCCTCCCTCATCTCCTCTTGGCTCATGTTGTACTGAACTTCCCCATTTCTGACTTTATTTAGCATTCACTAACTCAGGGGATATATGCAAAGCATGCCTGCTCCTCCTCTGAGTTTTGGTGTAATCACAGTTTAAAGATGTCCTGTGGTGTTTTCTTATAAACAGGTAATTCTGTGTTTTAAAACTTTCTGTGATGGTTGCCTGCATCCATATTTACTAGATCACAAACTTCCTCGCTGCATTTGTGACCACAATGCCGATTTACCTTTCAAATTTCAATTGGCAGACATCAGTGTGAATCTAGCAGGAGGTGGACTGGGTAGCACGGAGCAGGGTGTCTTCTGTTTGCACGCACATTGAGTAATGAGTTGAGGAGCTTTATGACCTGTGAAAATACAACACTGCCCTTACTCAGCAAATGTCTAAACAAAGTTTCAACCTAAGACTTTTAGATCCAATCTGGTTCAAATAAATGAAGTAGATGGTTTCTTTATTGATTCGAGATTTTTTGAGAACTCAATGGCTCTGGCAAACACATGCCTGAGGAGAGAAAACTGCCGTAAAATCGATCCCACATCTTTGCATCCGTCTTTAAATGATTCAGGAGTTTCAAAGTGTTGCTCTGCCTGTTTGATAAAAAGGGTTTAGATGTCTTGATACGAGGAATGTCAAGGCCTCCTGATGAATGAGGATGGGTGGCCCAAAGCATGAAACAGAACACTTGCACTCAGACACGTTAGTAGTGTGTCATACATATTCTCACTACCAGAAGCATTACTTACAAATTGCAAATACTGCTCACACACACACCCGCAGCAAATATGTACTTTGTGCCAAAAGCAGAGACTTTTCTCAAGAGATTTACAATGAACTCCCAGGCGGTGATGCGTGCGTTCTCATCTTCTCTGCTCTGCTCAAAGGTCAAGGCTCGGGAACAGTTGGTGTGTTTTTAAGTATGCAGCAACAGATGGTTATTTCGGTTGATCTATAACAGCCAGATGAAAAATCCTTGGTGTCATTCCACACAGATGATTTGTGTGTTTGTTTCTTCCCCCTTTAGTTTTAGTGTACATACAAAGATAAAAAATCTCAAAGTATCTAACCCATATCCCCAACAGCATATGGGAAGCTGCCTGCAAATAATCTTCTTCTGTACATTCCTGTGATTCCTGTAATGATGAGGGCAAATTTGATTGCCTGTCTTTGCTTTAACAGGGAAATTAAGCAGACGCGGATCAGAGAAATACACCAACGTGCCTTCACCAACCTCCAGCACCTCAGGAAACTGTGAGTTTGTGTGTTTGACACTTCTGTTTGTTCTTTGAAGAAGCGCATAATGAAGGGAAAACAAGCAATACATTCATTCAGACAGGGAGCAAGACGTTTCTCCTTTTGCTGGTACAGTTTTATTTTAGCACAGTTTGGTCTGATATGCAAACTGGATTTTTAAAGCTGTGATTCTGTGTAAAATGTTGATATAATCGTAATTAATTTATACGCAAAGTGCAAAAAGGAACAGCAGCACTTGTTGTTTTAGATCTGAGTTTTTATTGAAATTCTGTCATTTTACAATAAAAAGAGGTTTATCTGTCAAATTCAGTAAAATCATACTGACATAGTGGATGTTGAGGTCCAGTGAATGTGTCAGGGTCACTCAATCTTTTTTGATACCACCTTTCTCTAATATGTCCATTAATAGTTGTTCAAAAGTGTTTGATTGAGAGATTCCCACTGTGAATCAATGCAGAGTTGCCAGAAACCTGATAAAAAAAAAGTCAGTTTCAGTTTATGACTTTGTGCCCTGGATACAGAGGTTTCCTCAGTATGATGGGTGATCAACTTCCCCTGTTTTCTGTTGTTTTGTTGTGTTTTCAATTTTATGTTGACAACACAGCTGCGTTGCTCGAAGCAGTTAGGGTTTGGGCTTTTTTTAATTATCATTACACCATGCTTCCAGCCTTTTTCTTTACACAAATGTTTGCACATGTAACCACAAACATTTGTAACCGTCGTTATTTCTGTTTTTCCTTTGTTTCTCTGCTCCTTAAACATTAGCACCATATCGAAAAACGACATGTTGCAGAGCATTGGCACATCTGCCTTTGCCAATCTCCCGCGGCTCGCTGATATGTGAGTACTCCGATTTCATTACCCATGGATTGCACTTACTGTTATTTTTATGATGCTCTTGTGTTTAGTCTTTGTTGTAGAACAAAACAGCTCTAAAGTCTGAGAGGGTTAAGCACAAAACACATTGAGAAAAAAGCATGTCAAGATCGTGGACACAAAAATATGTCAACTGAAGGGTGAAAGAAAGTCAGTTTTATCTCTAAGCACATGTAATGTTGTTATGTTTCCCTTAGCTTCATATCTGAAAATGTTGCTCTGGAGACCATAAGAGCTTTTGCTTTCTCCGATCTCCCAGAGCTCACCGAAATGTAAGTATGGGCAGAGGAATAATGACAGTAATGAAACCCCGTAAAACCAGCCATATTTGCGAGTGTGTAACTAAATGTGTTTCTTTCAGAGAGATAACCAAGTCAGTACACCTAAAATTCATCCATCCAGATGCTTTCAGGAACATTGTGAACCTACGCTGCCTGTGAGTACTCAGCAACAGCAAGGATGAAAACTCTTTCCTCCGGTTTATGTTTTTCAAACTAATGAGAGCAAAATAGGTTATGGGTGACAGGCCTACTTATCATGGCCCACACTACAAAATCCATGATTTTTTAATTAGACTGGTTCCCTTGATGAGAAATCAACTGTCACACTTTATCCACCAACTGTAAAAACATTCCTTTCCCTGAAGAATATTTTACTTATAATATCAGATTCATAGATTTGATACAAAATCAGACTTGTCACAAGAATATTAATGTTTTCTATCTTTTGAAACGATTGCAGTGTGACTTGGTGGTCTCAGAATGGACTTCACATTACTAAAACCCCTCAGGAGAGCACCATCAGTGCTTTTGTGCTTGTCCAAATTGATGAGAACTAGAGCATAAACTCAGGGTAGTACAATAAGTATTTCTTAAATGTTTTATGCTTATTCAAGGACGCCTCCGTGCAGCCAAAACCATCATCTCAAAGCATGTTGGAAAAATACATTATATTGTACAAAGTTTATTACAAAACAGGCCAGATCTCTTTTTTTCTAGCAGAGGTGAGAAGTTAGTGGTAAAAAGGGAGCTCGATAGAAAGAATTTCAAACTTTCATTCATCAGCCAATAATCTTCAATCAGGGGAAGGTTTTGTTTAATCTTAAAAACTCCTTGGACTATGATTTTAATACACTTTTAGAAGGATGTTGTGTAATACATTTGAATGTCTCCTTTCAGAAAATAGGACTTTTGAAACTTGAGCTTTCTTTTTGGTTTTGAGATTATATCCTGTAGGACTTTTATGGGATTTTGATAATATAAAACTTAGACTTGTTTCATAGTTTCATGTAAACAACTCAAAAGCTCAAAGTACATGGTCCATTTCATATCAATTGGCTTACAGAACTGGTCCTTTCTAAACTAATTACCTGTTCCCCATTACTGTGTTTTAAGATTGTTAATGTCTGACTGTCCCGCAGAGCCTTCATTGTGATTGATTTTTTCCATTCCCCTCTTGGTTGCTTTTGTCATGATTAGTAATATAAATGTTACATTGTGTGTGGTTTTATCACTGTGACTGCAAAAAAAAAAATGTTTTAGAGATTGCATGTAGTAACATTTTGTTGGCTGAATCTTCACGTCACAGGACCATCTCCAACACCGGCCTGAGAATTTTTCCAGACCTCTCCAAGATCCACTCTATGGCCCAGCGTTTTCTGTTGTAGGTGTCTACACATGATAGAAATAAACCACAAACGCATGCTTGGAAACACACCCACACACCACCATCCCACATCCACCTGAATTTCTAGGCATGCAGTATTAAACGTGCCCTGGGGAAATCACACATCAGATATATACTGCAGGAAAAGCTACATGTACCGCTACATAATCCTTGGAGATCTCCTTATCTGAAGCACAAAACATCTCTTCTATAGTTTTCAACCTTTAAATTTCCACTGGCAAAATGTCATCTGCCAGCTTCAAAAGTAAAACTGGAATTCTGAGATACACTCACCACTCACTTTTCTACCATGAAAACAAGTGCACTTATTCTTTTTTAATACAAACTTGTGTTGCTGTTACCTATGTTTAAAAAATGTTCTTCTGTTTTGTTTTGTCCTGTTTAGTGACCTGCAGGACAACATCCACATAGAGACACTACCTGCTAATGCCTTCAGAGGTCTCAGCACACAAACAATTGAAGAGATGTAAGAGATTAAAGTCATGTTTTAGACACACCACCAACTCAAACATCAGAGTGGGCTACAAAGCACACTGATAAATGATTACAGATGATTAAATATTCATCTTTACCGGTTGTGTCTTTGACCCTTCTCTTTTTTATGTATTACTAACACTGACAGAATGTGACATTGCTTCTAAAACTACCTTCTACTCCACTTCAGCTACTGACCACAAATCCAGCTGAAAGCATGCATAGAGATAGGTTCAAATGGATATATGTTCTACACACGTCATCATTTAATATTTATGACTGAACCATAAAACAATTGATAAATACTGACACATTTTCTGAAGAAGTAGTTCTTCTGTCCATTTCTTAAACTTTCTTTTGTGTAATATTTTTTGGGATACTGAAAAAATCCAACGTTAATGTGATCTTTGGGAACTGTGAGTCTAGTAGATCATATGGGTGGTAGGTGGTATGTTCTAATATTATATTGCAGTCTGGTTTGGGTAAATGGGTATCTGACTGTTTGCACCCCCAAATACATACTCGTCCTCCTAAATTGTTTGGAGCCCCCTTGGACGAGTATAGTGCATACTTCAATTCAATTTAGTTCAATTCAAAAACTTTATCTATCCCAGAGGGAAATTAAATCATTTTGATTCATTAAGTGGTAGTTGCATACTCTTTCAGCATTATAAATAGCTTTTGTATCGTGGTTGTATTTGTGAATAGCGCATAAAGAATTTGATATATGGCAACAAATTAGTCATATTAAGTCAAATGAAATTGTTAAATAGTCAATAAGCTTTCATGGTTGTTTGGGTTTATAGCTGGGAACCTGTCCAGGGTGAAAAATGTTATATTCCTTCATAGATGAACAGCACTCCATTATTGCTTTGACAAATAGTTCCATATGGTACAAATATGATTTTTAGATTACATTTTAATGAGATTATTAATAGTAATTTCACAACTGCATGAAAACATATGAGGCTTTACTTTGCTCAGCAACTAGATGGCAAGTTACCAAAATCCACCAACCAGCAGCTTCAAAGTGACGTCGCTACCTACCTGAGTATGTTATCTAGACATAAATCAAAGGTGTAAAACAACACATTTTCCTGCCTAGAAAAAGCTGCTCAGCAACCACTGGAGGAAAAGGAAATGACTGTTTGTAGTTCTGGCAGAGAACTACAAACTGATTTTTAGGCCTACAAAAACATGGTAATAATTAATTTAAGCCACTGGGGTTCCAACCATTTAAACTGAGCCAAGCTGGTTGGCTCTTTTTGCTTTCTATTTTTGCTCTTTTCAAAGTTTGTCTGACCGCCAGATTGGACTTGATATAGAATCAGTCATGCCATTTTTAGCGAACAAAATATAATAATATTTTGGTTCTGAATTTGAAAGTAACCTCATAAACATTAGCCTTTAGTGAATAGGCTACAGGATGAAGGTTAAGAAGCTTGAAATGCTTGAACTTCAGATGTCATAATAGAAATAGCATGACAGTTATGTATCCCAAACATTTTAAAATAAGAATAAATAAAAACAAAGAGTTGTAAGTAAAAAAAAAGATCCAGTTCAGCTGCTAATGGGCCCGTCCATTTAGAGAACATGTGACAATTTTTACATATAGACGGAAATGCATCAAAGTCATTAAAAAACTAAATGAAATTAAAAATCGCCTATGAATAATTTTACCATGGAGAGGACAAAAGTTTTCCTAAACATCATGCAGAATGGCTAAAAAGAAATGCAACACAAGCATTAAATGAAATAGCTGTAAAATTCTTCAAATTTGGCAATGGAGTTTTTAAAAAATGTCAAAACACAATGAATTAAGCAATGAACAGACCACAATAAAAACATAATAGTATTCATTCAAATAGGGCAAGACATGAGGAGCTGTACAAAACAGCCGCAAAATCTTGGTGGTTTAAAACTGCTTACTGTCTTTTTGTGTTTTTGAAGGATGAGGGATGTGACCCCGATATGGGCATGATGTTTCATATCTGGCCTTTGACTACATGACCAATACTGTTGATCGTCATAGAAAATCTAAATAAGGAGAGAGAAGACGTCAAAGATTACAATAATGGACTTGTATAACTGAGAGCTTTTGTGCAGCTTTAGCTGGTGGGAACAAAAGCAGTGCAAACATTAAAATTAGGCTTTATCAGCTCAGATAAGTTTACTGTTGGGAATTATCTGTGTTCGAGCCACATGACTGTAATTTGGCTTCTCTTTCTAATGCCAGACGGCTCACCAGAAATGGCATCAAGGAGGTGGCAAGTGACGCTTTCAATGGAACAAAGATGTACAGATTGTGAGTCACAGATGGACGCGCAATCACAAACAGGAGTTAGACAGAAGAAAAAAAGCATCCTACATATTTCATTTCTCTCTTTCTGCTTCTCTTTTAGGCTCCTCAGAGGGAACAAACAGCTTACTCACATCAGTCCCAGTGCCTTTGTGGGTTCCAATGAGTTGGTGGTACTGTAAGCATGACATCTAAGAGTATCTTGTGTCCAGATGATTCATTCTCCTCATCATAGGTTTTTCTAAAATTTAGGATAAAGGAATAAACAAGAAATAGTCCATGATGTATGAGAAGAGATGCTAGAAGAATTTTGAATCAAAGGTAAAAGAAGCAGATGGTCAGTGAAACTTAATCAGATAGCCTTCTCACCTGTTTATTCCTCAAACAAATGGCCAACTCATTCTATTGAAAGAGCGATCAAACAAAAGTTCCTTTTGGGTTGCCATGGTTGTAAATGTTTTTTTCATTCCGAGCAAATACTTGGCAATCAAACAGTGGGTTCTCTACAGCTTCATTCTTTATTCGTTTTTCCCTTATTCAATATAACAGGGATACACACTACTGTGTAAGTGCCTTGAACTCCCATTGATTTATTTATTTATTGTGAAACAAATACAACATGTCTAAGCCTATAAAATATGTAGGCAACAGAGTTGCAAGAAGCAAACAGACTTAATATATTTCTGAGCAGTTTGAAAGATAATATTTGGTGAAACGGCATTAATCTTAGACAAGCTTTCTTGTCATTTTTTAAAGAGTCTGTAGCAATAGTTCTATGGGGTTTTGAATCCCAAAGCCCTTCGCTCCATTCTCTGTCAGATGATCCCACAGTAGTGTTGGGTTCTGGGCTCTGGGAAGGATTCGTCCCTCCATCAGACCTATCGGGTCAGATTTTCTGTTGGCACAGCTCAGTCTTTTCAGCCTGTGTCCTTAAAATGACGCTTTGACAGCCACCCTTCCATGGATACCATTTCTAAATAGGGTTCTGTGAACAGTAGAAGGATTAATTGAAGGGCAGGATGCATCTCTGAGATCCCCTGTCAGATCTTTACTCAAATTAAGGAATACAAATTCCTCTTTTGAGCTCCTGTTGTTTAGATGCCTTCAATATTTAAAGACTCCCCACTCATCTAGCAGAAATAAAATCTGAATTGGCAAATGGCAATTTGGAATAACACTTAGGGTGCAGAAAATACTAATTCATGAAACTGAATTATCTTTAACATTTCCAATAGAGGCAACAAAGAAAAATGTGGATGAATTCTAGAATTCTAGACTTTAGACAAGTGCTTAAAATTCTAATGAAATAATGCTACTGTTAAGTCCTGTTGTCTTTACTTGTGTGTGCAGGGACATCTCTCAAACCACCATCAGCTCTCTGCCAGTCTCCATCCTCAGTGGTCTGAAGAAGCTTTCAGCAGAGTCTGCCTATAACCTGAAAAAACTTCCTCCTCCGCAGCACTTTACCAAACTGTACTTGGCAAAACTAACGTACCCTTCACACTGCTGCGCCTTCCAAAACATGCTCATAAACAGGTACCGACGTTGTGCAGGGCAAAAATATTCTTGTTCTTGTTCTTGCATACATGAAAACATTCACAACACTTGAACACTTGCCTGTTAGTTGTCACAGTACAGCTTTGAACTGGTTCATTACAAATGTATTCTTAATCCATACATGACAAAATCCTTTTCCTGGAACTGAGTTTGAATGTGAATTTTCTAAAATGAATGGATGGATATTAGATGGATGGATACATTTGAATATATATACTTGAACTTTTTGGTTCTGCATAAAATCTCAATAAACATACATTACTTGTTGAAGACTGTGTTCATCCACACAACCTTTGTTGTTCCACACAACATGTGCACTGTACTGCACTGTGCTCCCTTGTATATGGCAGATCCAACTGTGCAAAGCTTTAACCTAGGCTCACTTGGATATTTTTGTGTTTTAGATCGAGGTGGAACTCCTTTTGTGGCGATCCGGGGGCTAAGGATAACCCTGCGTTCTTCAGGGAACACTGTGCCAACTCCAGCTCCATCACATGCAGCCCAACGCCAGACGACTTCAACCCCTGTGAGGACATCATGTCCCCCGTCTCTTTACGGGTCCTCATCTGGATCATCTCCATCCTTGCTCTGCTGGGCAACACAGTAGTTCTTCTTGTCTTGTTGGGTAGGGCATTTTGGAGACAAACTCAAATGAATCTTTTGCTTTTGTTCATATGCTTTGTGTGGTTGATCTATCTGAACTTCTCAGATAATTCACATTCAGAGGTTGAGAAAATGACTTGCATTTTGTCTAATTCTTTGCTAAAGAATACGTTTGGCTCGAAATATTTCTTCTTTGACTGAAAGTTTGGCCTTTTCCTTTCACTTAATTTCAGTTGTACTCTGCACTAAGAGGCTTGTTTCTGCTTTTGTTTAGTTTCACCCCTAACTTCTTTCCAATATTCTTCCCTTGTTCAAACTGAGTCCATGTTAAGTGCTATAATTTGATTATTTGAATAATTAGAGCAATTTCTATGTGGGCAGGCAGCCGATCCAAGCTGACGGTTCCTCGTTTCCTCATGTGCCACTTGGCCTTCGCTGACCTCTGTATGGGCATCTACCTGGTAGTCATTGCAACAGTTGACATACTCACACAAGGGCGATACTATAACCATGCCATAGACTGGCAGATGGGCGTTGGCTGCAAGGCAGCGGGATTTTTCACGGTGCGTGAGTGCACGTAGAATTGACTGCATGAATCGATAACATCACGTGTCTGTGTAAAGGTTTGAACCAAATAATGCTCCATTCCTAGGTGTTTTCCAGTGAACTGTCAGTGTTCACGTTAACAGCCATCACAGTGGAGCGCTGGCACACCATCACGCACGCTCTGCGACTGGACCGTAAACTTCGGCTGAGGCATGCCTGTGTCATCATGACGGCAGGATGGCTCTTCTCCTTGCTGGCCGCGTTGCTGCCCACAGTCGGTGTCAGCAGTTATAGCAAAGTGAGTATTTACTGTCATTTATTTCAGGCTACTTGTTTTTAAGAGTGCTTTTCAATGCTTACTTAGAGGATTAAAAATCACAAGGTACATAGATATATCTTCAAACCAAAAGTGTCATCCCGAAATATAAAGGAGAAATGAGGTACACTGAGGTCTCTGATATCTGTGATTGAACATGTGTCTCTACACAGGTGAGTATCTGCCTGCCAATGGATGTGGAGACTGTGGAGTCCCAGGTCTATGTGATCTCTCTTCTTCTTCTCAACATCCTGGCCTTCTTCTGCGTGTGCGGCTGTTACCTCAGCATCTACTTGACTTACCGCAAACCTTCATCAGCTCCAGTCCACACCGACACCCGGGTGGCCAAACGCATGGCCGTGCTCATTTTCACCGACTTCATCTGCATGGCTCCCATCTCCTTCTTCGCCATCTCAGCTGCCCTGAAGCTCCCACTCATAACTGTCAGTGACTCCAAACTTCTGTTGGTCCTCTTCTACCCCATCAACTCCTGCTCCAACCCCTTCCTGTACGCATTTTTCACGCGCACCTTCCGTCGGGACTTCTTTCTCCTTGCAGCTCGATTTGGCCTGTTTAAGACTCGGGCTCAAATCTATCGCACTGAGACTTCCTCCTGCCAGCAGCCAACGTGGACCTTTTCTCCTGTCAGCAGCAGAAATGGATATTTCCAAAGAGCAGCTATGTGATGTACTGCTTTCTTAATGAGTTTAGTTGGAAAATTAAGAGTGATGATTGCGGTCCAAATATCCTGAGGGAGAAGCGGGAGTTCAATTAAATAAAACTGTTTGAGTGTTCACATCGTAGGGATGCTTGAAAGACTGCTGTATCCTCCTCCACCTCATCAGTGACATGATTGAGAAAAGTTGGTCTTCACAATATCAGCGTCCCATAGCTTTTACTCTATACTTTCAGCCAGTCGTGTATGGGATTCCTTGAATGTCTCACCTTTGTTCAGAAACAGCACGAGGCAGATAGCATCTAATATTCACCTTGGATCTTGTAAAATACATTATTGAAAGCATGAGCTATAACTGTCCAAGTATAGAAACAGTGACGGCAGATAATCCAAACAAATGTGGGTCACTTATCTGTCCTAGATGCCCTTGTGTTTGAGGTAATTTGTTTGGAGTACCAGATGGTGGGGTTTCCAGCAACAAGACAGTTTAGAAGTCCTGATATAGATAGAGGAGCAGAAGACATACTAAACTGGTGTCTTCACCCATCGCTTAATGAAACAAACCCTGTCCATCTGTTTTCCCAAGATAAAACGGCATATCGAAATAGAACAAAAACATATTCAAGTTTTATGTGCCAGACATTAGACTGTGTACAGAACTTAATATTCACTCAGTGTTGTGATTGAATTCAAACACTGCTAGACATAGTAATTAATATGTATTTTAACAAAAAGGTTGCTAGACCCCTTCATACCTACATATCTTCTCCAATTCATCTGTGTTTCTGTTTTTCCAAAGACAGGCTATGTAATTATCTTAATGTAGTGTAATTCTGTATTTGTTTGTTTTGTACAAAATATATTACTTTGCTTTTTTCTGATAACTTAAAATATTTGTTTGATACATATCTCTCCCTGAGTATATTCTGGAAGGCAAATCTATCTAACACATGTGCTATAATTTTATTCCCTTCTCTTTTTAATCTATCAGTTCTGTCCTTCGGCACATCCAAAGCTCTCAAGGACAAGGTAACCCTACCAACCCCTGCTCTGTGTATCAAGGTGGGTGGGTGGGTGTGGGAGGACAGACTACACAGCTGCTGGTTCTGCTTATTACAGGAGGATGGAAATTGCACAAAGATAAGGCGTACAAATACACCAGCAACCCAAAATTTCAAGGCTGCAGCTGCAAGAAAGAATCTGAGTCTGTTTTATATTACATGTATCCTCCTACTCTCCAAAAGTGTGGGTGCATTTTCCACTTTAACCACCAGCTGACGCTAATGATTCAGAGTTTATAGGGATCTCTGCTCTTCTATGGTCCACAGAACTGTGAACAATAATGTTAGTCACCTTACTAAACAAGCATCTCAAAGGTGTTGATTTTTTTTTCCAAAAATAAAAGCTAAATATGTGACCTGAAACTAGTTTTGATTAACCACGTTTAACAGTTTGGTCAAACTGCCAATTTAAATAATGGTTTTCATAGAACACATGTAGGCATAATTACATACAAACGAACTGTACAAAAGTAATAATCCACCATTCATCCACAACTTCTGCATCCCTGACGGCATGTCCCTTATGTAAGTATTAAAAAAGAATAATTTATGTTTTGAAGGATTTTCGCATTAGTCTGTTGATTTGCAGTTAAACAATGCCCCCTGGTGGGCATACAGTTAAACAGAACTGTTTATTAAAGTGTCATTCCACCAACAAAAAAATGAAGTTGGTAGCACTTGGGGGGGAAAGATCAATAAACCAGAGATAATGGCTTTTTTTCTAATTATGAAGATAATCCAAATAATTTTTTGAATACAAAAACCAACCCAAAGACACCTGGAGACCAATAATGAATTAACAGTCGATGAGAACACACCATATAATTAGTCAGCCAGGTGTTTAGTGTGTAGTTAATGAAAAATATTTCCTTTCCAGTTAAAATTCCCTCTTTTTTACCCTTGCGTAATATTTTTTTCACGGCATGCGTTTTTATCTTAATATTTGGCTTTTGTTTATTAATAATCCTGTTATTTCAATAAAAGGAAGAGACATATCTCCAGTGCATAGAATTTTCACAAAACATGGTAAATAACAAATGAAAAAATATTAAAAACGAGGCCTTTTTTACCAAATCCTAACACATAGGTTTGTTAAGTGTTCTGACACGCAGTTTGTGATTGGCCACTCTTAGAGGAAATCATAAAACACCTATTTTGATTGGTCAAAACGACATTCTGTTCTTTTTTCTCGCGATTGTTTCCCGTGTGAGTTAATGGCTCCTCCTGTTACAGACATAGACGGAGCTGGCACCGAGCAGTGAAACTAGGGGAGCTGACACCGCGGAGAAGAAAAAACGCAATTACTCTCCAAACACCATTGTGTTTTAGATCGTGATTGTTTGGGACTATCAGGGAAAAAGACTGTCCGGGTGGCATTTAGGGCCGAGAGCTAAATTTGGCAGCGGGCGGTCGAGGATAGCGGTCTATTTTTCGACAACCAACTCCCCAGATGAACTCCGTCAGAGCCACCAACAGGAGACCCAGGCGAGTGTCGAGGCCGCGCCCGGTACAACCCGAACGTAACAACGGGGACAGAGGTAAGATAGACCGCGGTCTGCCAGTGGTTTCAGACGAACCCGTATCAGGCAACAGCATCCTCGACATAAGCCTTGTATTTGGTGCTGGCTTGTTCAGCAGCACCAAAGACGGCGGCTATAGCAGGAAAACCCGAGGCTTCGAGCTCTGTGGCTCAGGCCAGGCCGCGCTTTGTTTGGCTTGAGTGATCGGGGCTAGCTAGCTTACCAGGTTAGAAGGCGGTTGGGGGTTGTCTTCGCTTAACGTAATGCGTATGCAGCCACAGGGACATCCTATGTGGCTCTTATACCCCAGCTGGTGGCTAAAGGATATACTTTACAGGCTCTAATGTTATGCTTTGGGATTATTCGGTCGCAGCATTCTCAGCTGTCACGGCCATTTCTGAGGGTGTAAATCTGCCATTTTTGGGGTGTAACGTTAACAAAAACATTAGCAGCGATTGGGGACAAAGCTAGCTAGTTGCTCCAAGCATCGAAAGGCCACATAGATCAGCTGTGATAGATGATACAGGGTGATTTAGCCGAATTCTCTGTGTACCCTGGTCTGTAGTATTGAGCTAATGTTTATCAGATTGAGCAAATACCTTCGCCTTTTCTGTCGGCGATTGCTAGCCGTTGCTTGATTTGTTTACACACACCGCGGATTTGCCAGCTACGCAGTTCAGTTTTTAGCCATTAGCTGCACGTCTTATCGACTTGATTCGCAGCCCCTAATTTGACATCAACACTCAAATTTGTATTCTGCCAGATCTAGAGAGATATGGACACTGCCTGGTATATGTAAGGCGCAACAAAAAAATGAAACAGAAATGCGCTTCGGCTGCAGGGAGCGCATCTGCCTTTATCAATCAACCAACCTTTGTCTGCCTTACCGATTATTACTCTCACAGTGGTCTGCGCAGTTGGCACTCAGCATGTAGGCTTAATCTAGAACCCGGTGTCCGTAATGTGTGCAGCATTTCCTGAAAATATTTGTGCATGAAATTAGGTGATTTTGGCTTATGTGCTCATTGTTTTAATTCTACTTGCATGACCGTCCTCTTTATTTAATCTTTGTTCATGTAAGTACCTGTTTTAGGCTATGGTGTGTGCATCAGACATCTTTTCTTCTCTATTTAGATGAGGAGGCTCCTGCAGCAGCCGCAGCAGAAATGGCTATTGAGGAGTCTGGCCCAGGTGCTCAGAACAGTCCATATCAGCTTCGACGCAAGACCCTGCTTCCCAAGAGAACCGCTGCTGCCTCTGCTGCTGCCTCTGCCTGCCCCAGCAAGGGCCCAATGGAGGTTAGACTGTAGCTCTGACTTGCATTTTACATGGTTTTTGACTGCACCATGCATGTTTGCAGGCTGGATACTGCAGATGTGTGGGATTGAAAGAGAATTGCTGAAGCAATAGTGCTGTTGTGGCAGAGCATTGAGTTTGCGCTTTAATTACTTAGTGGTTGGATCTTGGCTTGAAATGTATATCTTACTTGCTCTCTTTTTTTAGGGAGCTTCCACTTCATCAACAGAGGCCTTTGGCCATCGAGCCAAGCGGGCACGAGTGTCCGGTAAGAGCCACGACCTGCCAGGTGTGTGTTAAAGCTCTGCTGCTAGTGAAGGAAAGTGATTGCTTCATTAGATAAGAATTTTGAGTCACTTGTTCACTGTGCTTGAGGTCGCAATATATTGTGGAGACTGACACTCTGTGTATTTGTGTAATTTTAGCGGCCCCAGCAGAACAATATCTCCAGCAGAAGCTTCCAGATGAGGTTGTTTTGAAGATTTTCTCCTACTTACTAGAGCAGGACCTTTGCCAAGCAGCCTGTGTCTGCAAGAGATTCAGCCAGCTAGCAAACGATCCCATCCTATGGTTAGTGCCCTTAAAGACAAAGACTGCTGTTTTTAGATGGACAGCTAAAACATGGTCTTTTTCCTCCTTTTTTTATATTCTAGGAAAAGGTTATACATGGAGGTGTTTGAGTATACACGTCCCATGATGCACCCTGAGCCTGGCAGATTCTACCAGGTTAGCCCCGAGGAACATGAACACCCAAACCCATGGAAGGAGAGCTTTCAGCAGCTGGTAAGTTAGTCTCCATTAATGAAATAATTCATTTGTGTTCTTAATTACATGTTGTAGATATAAAATATTTCCCTTACTGTGTGGCTTGGCACATTTTTGGAAACCTCAACAAGCAGCGTTCACAGAATCCTAATGCTGTTCACCACAGGCTGGTGAAAGAATTGTAGCATATAGTTGTTTATTGCGAAAACATTTTTGGTAGTTGTGCACTTATCCGTATGTTCTGCTGTGGGTGCTTTAATGGTTGCAAGAGACCATCAAATCAATCTGATGGATAGCAAGTGCAGTCGATGGGAAGAATAAAATGATCAACTCAGCAGTATAAACGCCTTTCTATTCGATTGTTTGCTTGTGAAACTGTGCAAACTTTCAGTTTCTTAAGAAATTTTAAGCAGTTCAGAGCACTTGACATCTTTATTCTTTCTACCAAATTGGAAAGTTTGCTAGTTTGGTAAAATAAAGACCATGTAAAGTAGGAACACTCTTTTTTTTTTTTTTTTGCAGTACAAAGGCGCACATGTAAAGCCCGGCTTTGCAGAGCATTTCTACAGTAACCCTGGCAGATACAAAGGCAGAGAGAATATGTTGGTAAGTTAGCAATCTCCTGATAGTTTTGCATTTCAGAGCTTATTTAGGCAACCTCTGCTGAATTGTAAGCACATAGATGCTTTGCCTGAAAGTGTGTTTGTGCCTCTCTCCTGCAGTATTATGACACAATTGAAGATGCTCTGGGAGGGGTACAAGAAGCCCACTTTGATGGTCTTATTTTTGTTCATTCTGGCATCTATACAGATGAGTGGATTTATATAGAATCCCCCATCACTATGATTGGTGCAGGTAAGTATGTGCTCTTCATTGAGACATGCTGAAGACAAGATGCCTGTGCTGCATTCAATCAATATCTTCTTAGATGAGAATACACACTCAGCAGTGTGTATATCGGTATGTATGAGGGGTTTTAATGAAAGGTCTCCACTTTCCCCATAGCTTCCGGTAAGGTAGCGGACAAGGTGGTTATAGAAAATACTAGAGACTCAACGTTTGTCTTCATGGAAGGCTCTGAAGATGCATATGTGGGATACATGACCATCAAGGTAAATAAATTCCTCAGCCCTGTCTGTCCTCTTTCTTTATATGTTTTTTTTTTCTGGACTCATGATAGTGCTCTCTCGTGGAGCATAGTGTAGTCACATTGAGAAAAGTCCAACCTAATGTTTTTTACTTGATTTATTTAATATTTAGTGACCACCTATCCGTAGGGCTCTTGTACCAATCTTAATAGAATTTTTTTTTCTCCCAGTGTTGTTTTAACTTATGTAAAATAACTAAGGTAGTGCATTGATTATTTCCATCTTAAGTTCACACCTCATTATTATTTATTACACACTGTTATAATAGTGGACACGTTAGTGGCTCCAGTGGAAGAGTTCATCATAGATGTGGGTGGACAGAATTGTTGTCAGTAATCGTATCCTCTGTCTGACTTCAGCTGCCCTTCTGTTCCTCAGTTTAATCCAGATGATAAATCGGCACAGCACCATAACGCCCACCACTGTCTCGAGATCACAGTCAACTGCAGCCCGAACATCGACCACTGCATCATCCGCTCCACGTGCACAGGTAACGCGGCACCCAGTTTTAGGGGGAGAAAATTATTTAATGTTTTACCTGTTAGCACCAGAAAGTCCATTTTAGCTGGGCAAAAGTGGCATATATTGCATTTCTGTCATTTCTACATTACATTAGTTGCTTGTGTCTTTGCTCTCTGAGAGTTAGCGACTGACTTTGGCTTTTTGGACTGTTCTGGCTGAAAACCAAATCACCCAGAAAACCTTTTTAATTGTTTAATCATTTAATTGTTAGCAACTGCTTTTAGGATGGGGTGTCACTTTGATCAATTTCTGATAAGGAAAAAATGTCCTGTTGGTTTGTAGCATTCTTAAAAATGGACTCAAGTTTATTTTAAGTTCTTTCAGTGTTATTGCTTTGCTTCTGTCATTTAGATTTTGTTACAGGAGAGAGATCAGTTTAAAGGGCCAGTAGACATTTAAGTTTAGTTATCTGTGTATTTCAAAATTGATTCATACTCTTTGAAGTCATTTGATTTGTAGTTGGGTTTTTGGGTTTTTTTAAATATTTTTAAGCTGTGTTGTATTTATGGAGTGTGGCCATCATTAGTTTTAGTTTAAATTTTGAGGAGATGCTTTCATTTCTTTAGCATGTTTTTTGTTTTTTACTATACCGCTAAAAATCCAGGCTACCATTGACAGCATGAGAGGCTTTGCATCTTTGTGTGCTTAGATGGCTACATTAAAAAGATCTTTAACATGATAATAGTACAAGAATCTGCTGTGTTTAAACTTTAGAATACGAGTAGAGACATACAGTCTACACACGTTTTGAAAAATAAATTCACGGTATCTTTCTCAGGAGAAATGTGCTGATACCTAAAGCTTCAAAAACTTTTTGCAAACATTGCATTGTAGACAGAATTAATGTCAGCCATGTAGGAATTAAATAAAGGGAACATTTGATCGCTGCTGTTGTGATTGAAACCCTTGTAAGTGATCACCTTCAGCAGGTCGGTTATTGTGTGATCCGTTTGTGTTTTGGGGTTTAGTGGGTTCAGCTGTGTGTGTAAGCGGACAGGGAGCCTGTCCAACCATCAAACACTGCAACATCAGCGACTGTGAGAACGTGGGGCTGTACATCACAGACCACGCACAGGTAAACATTATTTTATTCCCATTAGTGAACAGACACACAGACAAATGATAAATACTGTGTTTCACCGTCGCTCTCTGTTCCAGGGCATTTATGAGGACAATGAAATCAGTAACAATGCGCTAGCAGGGATTTGGGTGAAAAACCACGGTAATCCCATCATTAGACGTAACCACATTCACCACGGAAGAGATGTTGGGGTGTTCACGTTCGATCACGGCATGGTAAATACTCTCAGCTGTGTCCTGTCTAACCTTTGGTCAGAAGAATCATCACAAACCACTAAACATGGGTCTTGTCTGCATTTCAGGGTTACTTTGAGAACTGTAATATCCATAGAAATCGCATAGCAGGCTTTGAGGTCAAAGCGTACGCCAACCCCACAGTGGTGCGCTGCGAGATCCACCACGGCCAAACGGGAGGCATCTACGTCCACGAAAAAGGGCGGGGCCAGTTTATAGAGAACAAAATCTATGCCAATAATTTTGCTGGTGTGTGGATCACATCCAACAGTGACCCAACGATACGGTAGGAGCACAAAAGAGGGAATCTGTTGGAATTAGGAGGAGTTTGTCTCAAGGTGTTTGACCACTTTTCTTTTAAATTCAGGGGAAATGCGATTTACAACGGTAACCAAGGAGGGGTGTACATATTTGGAGATGGGCGAGGCCTGATCGAGAGTAATGACATCTATGGTAACGCCTTGGCGGGAATCCAGATCCGAACCAATAGCTGCCCCATCGTACGACACAACAAAATCCATGATGGACAGCATGGCGGCATCTATGTGGTAAGTACACTAATTTAACTTACTGTAAGCAGGTGAGAGGATGTGAATTCAGTCAGAATACAACCCTTTTTGGTTTTGATTGAGTTCTAGGATCGCTGTCAGAGATTTGCTAACTGCTGATCTTGCTTGTATTTCAGCACGAGAAAGGCCAGGGAGTGATCGAAGAGAACGAGGTTTACAGCAACACGTTAGCCGGCGTCTGGGTGACCACAGGCAGCACCCCTGTCCTCCGCAAAAACCGCATCCACAGCGGCAAACAGGTACAGAGGAGGTTTTCATTCCTTCCATAAAAGTCTAAAGTAACCTGATAATTATGTGATTATTACAGTTCATTTTTATAGCATAGCTTTTTATTTAAAGGGGCACTTTTTTTTATTCTATTGGAATTTTCTTGATTTATTTTTTCATTTTGTTTGTGTTTAGATACTTGTCTTGCCCTCTGTAAAGGGCAAAGTTATCTGTTTTTGGGAAGCAGGAGGGGGGCTCAGCACGCCAACTGTTACTCAGGACCATAGCAGAGCACCACTGTCAGCAGACTGGCCCTGTTACTGGCCTAATTCCAAATAGGATTTAATTGAATTTTGACAACCTGGAAATGTACTTTCATATACCATCTCTTTGATCTGCTAAGTGACAACCTGACTCGTACAACTGATCAATAACACAAGTATTCTTCTGATGAGGTCTTTTAGATTCAAGGTAAACTACTGTCTGAAAGTGTGACGCCAAGTAATAATCCACAGTGAAGTGTTTGCTCAAATAACTGTGCGAAGTGGGAGTCATTTTAGATGCCTTTTCTCTGGTCTCCCATTTGAGCAGCAGTTAATTTGTGCTTCAGCCCTCCTTGTGGCTCCTCAAACTGCACTCTGACTGCTGTCTCCTGCTGGTAAAACGATTACCTGCTATAGACGTAATGAAGTTCCCTCCAATGTTACTGCAGAGGAAAGCCAACAACAATCCGACCCAGTTTTTTGCAGCAGTACACACAATGCTCTATGTATGGTGGCGTATAAGAAGGAAAGAGCAGCTCACAGAGCCAGAGGAACCCGCTAAATTTGATTATTTTTGGTCGAAGTCAAGAAAATAAGCACTGGTATTCACTAAATTATTAGACTTGCAGGATTTACCAGTGGCTTTATTTAGTATTTTTTTTGCAATGTCTTTTTTGTTGTTGTTTGTGAACACTTTCAGTTAACTTATCTGTTCCTCTCTCCTTTAGGTTGGAGTATATTTCTATGACAACGGGCATGGTGTGTTGGAAGACAACGACATCTACAATCACATGTACTCGGGTGTACAAATAAGGTAAAGACCACCACTTTCACCTTTGAGCACCTAGGTTGTATCGTGTTAATGTAAATGATTGCAAATCACATCTGCTGAGTTTTGCATTCTTAAGAATCTTTTTTATTTTCACAGAACGGGAAGTAACCCAAAAATAAGGCGCAACAAGATATGGGGAGGCCAGAATGGAGGGATTTTGGTCTACAACTCTGGTGTGTGGTTAACTCCATCGCTCTTAATTTGGTGCATAATCAGTAATAACATTTTTGTCTAATGGAGATCATACATGTTTACAGGTTTGGGCTTTATTGAGGACAATGAGATCTTTGACAATGCCATGGCTGGGGTGTGGATCAAAACAGACAGCAACCCCACTCTCAGAAGAAACAAGATCCATGATGGAAGAGATGGAGGCATCTGCATCTTCAATGGAGGCAGAGGTACTTTAGCTTGATACTTAAAGCGCTGCTCCTCAGCCGAGGGGCTCGTGTTGAAAGCTGTCGCTAATGGAGGAAATGGACTATGGAAAGAAATAGGAAAGAAAACATAACCCGACCGATTACAAAGGAACTGGATGTGGATTGAGTGTTTTTGCTGTAATTCTTTCCACACCCTGCTACTGTTTTGGTAGCCATAACCCCTCCAGCAGGTTCAGCAAAAGGAGTAATGGAGACCTGCTGAAAGGTGCAACACACTGTTGACCCGTTGACATGAATTTGCTTGCTAGTAACTGACTGAAAAGATCATCCAGAATCAATCCATCTCGCTAAATGGCTTATAGAGTGCTGAAAATCCCTCAGTGATTTAAATATCATAAATCATACAAATTATGTGTTTTGTGTTGTTTATATCAACATAGTTGCATCCACCATTTCTGGAATGTACGGAACAGATTTGATTTATTTGCAGTTTTAAGTTATTTTATGGAATTTCTTGCAAATGAGGTCAAATTAAGGATACATTTTTTTAAAGGGACTTTAGGGACAAAATTGAAGGGTTTTTATAGAACTTATTCAATGTCCTTCGAATGCTGTAACTTTGATGTCTGCACTTCATGTCATGCTGATCTTGAAATGGTGCTTTCTCTAGGTCTGCTGGAAGAGAACGACATCTTCAGGAATGCCCAGGCGGGTGTGCTCATCAGCACCAACAGTCATCCAGTCCTCCGCAAGAACCGCATTTTTGATGGCTTTGCAGCAGGTTAGCGCCACTGCCTCGTTATCAACACAAGGCAGCATTTCAGTGGGTGTCCGTTGGACTTATGGGAGGCTTCTCCTTCCTTAATTTCAGGTATTGAAATCACTAACCATGCCACGGCAACTCTGGAGGGCAACCAGATCTTCAACAACCGCTTCGGAGGTCTGTTTCTGGCCTCTGGTGTCAACGTCACAATGAAAGGTGAGTGGCTGCTTCCTGGCTGTAAAACCTTGGGAAAAAAAATCTGATCCATATGCGCCTGCTATGTTGGCAGATTCATTTTCGATTTGTACTTTCAGATAATAAGATTCAGAACAATCAGGATGCCATTGAGAAGGCAGTGAGTAGAGGACAGTGTCTGTACAAGATCTCCAGCTACACCAGTTACCCCATGCATGACTTCTACAGGTAACTTAATTACATTTAAGTAGAGCTGAACAATACAGGTTCAAACCGGTTCAAACCCAGCAGCACATGTTGAAATTCAGACTGGTATGAATGCTTTTTTAGGACAGCCTGATTTAGGCTTTCGTTTTGTTTTGTTTTTTAATACATTTATAGTGGACTTTTTCAATGTTGTTGATTAAATTGTCAGAATTCATTCACATTTTCATTTCTGCATCTCCTGTACCTCTTGTCTGTTTGTGTTTTCTCCCACTTCTCCTTCTGTTAGGTTCCACCTCTCATTTGCTCATCGGTAACTTTATTAGCTTGAGAGATGCATGCAAGCACATCTCAAAACCTAATTTACTACTTAACTCTATATAATCAGAAGGACTGGTGGACAAGTCTTTCGCTGTAGTGTAAAGCTGAAACTGTGTTTGAGTGGCAAAATGTATTTTTCTCATGTTTTTCCACTTATAAGCATTCAGTGCTTGAATGTGTTCATATTAGCTTAGATATCAGATATGAGGGTGTCTACTTATTGAAATATGTCCCCTTGATCTTTAAATGATTTTCATATTTAAGCTGATTATACATTTACATCTGTAAAGACCAGGTTAAAATAACTTCACCTTCTATGTTGTACTTATTTTCCAATGTCCACGAAAATTAATTTCTTCTTTCTCTTTAGATGTCACACCTGTAATACAACAGATAGGAATGCCATCTGTGTTAACTGCATCAAGAAATGCCACCAAGGACATGATGTAGAGTTTATACGGCACGACCGGTAAGAAGCAGCTAAAAAGTTATTTAAACTTTTATTATATTGGTATTTTTCATCCTGAACCAGTTAAAATCCCCTTTACTTTCAATGGGATAATTGGCTCATTTTACTTATGTAAAGTTTATAATCCTTTCACTTTTTGCTCCAGATTTTTCTGTGACTGCGGGGCCGGAACGCTGTCCAACCCGTGCACTCTGGCCGGAGAGCCCACACATGACACGGACACTCTGTATGACTCGGCGCCGCCCATCGAGTCCAACACGCTGCAACATAACTGAAGTTATGGTCAAGTTAACCGCCTCACATTAGCATACCAACACATTACATTGCACACAGCCATACACAAACAGTCACATACACACATCCACTTGCAGCCATAAGGCCCCAGAGAGACTCTGCCCGCGGCGCTCTCGGGCAGGATCAAGGTGGAAGAAACAGCGGAGGAAGTGGCTTCAGCTGGACACGCTGCACCAGAGGGAGCGGCGGAGCTGAGGGTCGACTGACACGAGCGGCCACAAGAGCTTCCTCACTGGAGTTTTTCGAACTGCAGTCTGTAAACAAAGAAGATGGGAAGAGGAGGGTTGTGCCGAGGGGCTTTCAAGGTCAGCTGGTGGCACTTTGAGTGTGAACTCCTCCCAGTTAATCCTCAGCTCCTGGCCCTCTTATTCTTCTTGTTCTCAAGAACTGCTGTCAAAGACTTCCTGCTTCCTCACAGCCATCCCAGTTAGCTGTCTAGGCAGTTGTGACTAGGCAACGGATGGGTGGATGTTTCTGTGTGTGTGCATAAAGTGTGTGTGTGTGATGGAGCACTTGGGCTTTTTTTAAAAATATATAAATATATATATATATACACATATATATATATGTATATGTTTCGATCAATGGATTTTATTTCAATGCTTTCTCATGTAGTTTTGTATTTTCAAGCAAAAAGCTGACTGTATTTGAATGTCTTTTATTTTATTATATATTATTATAATTATTATTATTTTTCTTTGGTTAGCGTCCCGCCTCCCTGACCGTCAAGCTGCAGAAGCTCAAACGTCCCAGTGGTGAAATTCTTTCTGTGAAAGAGAGTCATTTAAACACTAAAAACCCTCTCCAGTGTGTTGGTTTAAATGGCAGGTGGAGTGATCCACACATGTACAAAGAGGTGTGCGTAAACGTGTCGTGTACAGTGCAAGTTCGGCCTGTGTGTGTGCGTGTATGTATGTATGTATGTATGTATGTATGTGTGTGTGTGTGTGTGTGTGTGTGTGTTTATAAGTTGATGCAGTCAGTGTTTTGTGGAGAGGGTTTCTGTAGGAGGCGTCCAAGCTCCTTTTTGAACTGGAACTGAAGAGTCCGTCTGCAGTCCTCCCGCTCCCCCACCCCACCCCCACCCCCCACCCCCCACCCCCACCCCACCCTCGTGTATCGTGGTGACTGTGGCTCTTCATGCAGCCTGAATCGTATGCATGTACCATAACATCTAGACTTAATATATTGTGAAGTATTCAATAACCATTACGTAGATGCTAGTTGGAATTCAAAAAGGGGTATACTTTCTTAGAAAGACAAAAAAAGAAAACAGGAAACTGGCCATTTCTAAGAAAATAAAACTTTATTAGATCAAAGATGTCTGTTTTTGAGTTCACTTGACCCGATGGAATTCACGCCCTTAAATAAGTGCTTCTTTTTCTAAAAGGAACTGCAGCTGGAAGATTCCAGCTGCGATTACCTGCCTGGTCGCACCAGCATCCACCTCCTGTAGAAAGGCAAAACAAGTGGTTGAAAAGCAGCTGGGGGAATTTAGGATTAATGCTCATTTTGTCTCATGTTTAATTGTGCAAGCGTGAAATGGAGGAGATGCTTCATTACTAAGTGATACCATTCCAAGAGATTCCAGCATTTCATGTACACCTGAGAAGACTGCCAGCTTATGAAATAAATGACCAGAAATGAGTATCTTTACTCCTTTTTTATGGTTGCAGAGCTAATAAGTGTGCATCTCACAGGGTTAAAATGATTTTTTGGTTAAGCAATCGTGCTACTTTCTTTATGTAAAATCTGCAGACAAATGAAAATGGCTGATATTTAATGCATTAATGCGCATAAGAGGGTACAGATCCACAAAATGTCAGGTTGAAGTCTGATTTTGAAGTTCCAATGTGAACATTTTAGAAACGTGCATTTGATTAGATATGAAAAGTCCCATTTGATGAGCAGATCTGTGCTGTAGTTAAAGAGTGAGGTTGGAAAACTGTGAAGTAACAAATACAGTTTAGTTCACGGGGCCTCATATTTCATATTTCCACCTGCATTGAATAAAAAAGCATTGACATGGATGCTTTGAAAATAGCAGTAATGTGTTTCAATGAATGTTACACTGGAGAATGGACACGTCTTTAAGAGAGCAAGTCTGTATCAGCGGAAAGCAGCCTGTAAGAAATGAGTTCAGATTGGTGAAGCAAACAGAAAAACTGTGTTCTTTAGGAGTGTATTTAGCGTCCTGTGCTCAGGGTCGTCTGACTTCTTAAGGGGATCACTGACACACTGTAAAACTCGTGGTCTAATTCAAACGTGACCAGCGGTGGAGACATGGTGGAAACAAGTCTTCACACATTTTAGGGCAATAACATGAGTCAATTGACGTTAAGGTACCAGAACATGGTGGTGAGACCTCAGACATGCCTGCGCCAAATGTGCACTATATGGTTTAACAGTTCTTAAAAGCCTAGATCAGCTGAATGCGTGCTGATAGATCAGCAAGGTCCAAATTACCACAAAGCGTGGCCTCAAATCGTAGGATTTACTCAAAATGTGTGGCAATAATCCATTAACACCCAAACCTCCTCTGGAGCTGACCTGAAATTTAATTCAGTTCTTTAAGAGTTGGGTCAATGCCATTTGGTTAAAGTATTCTGAAAATACAGATCTTATGTTCTCCTTTTTAAAAAACGCCAGTTTTTGGTGTTCGTGGTAGTAATTGGTCGTAAATGTAGAGCGAGCAAGTGCAAAAAGGTCATTAGCAACCAGCGGTAGTTTTTCTGGTGGGTCGCAGGACAAAAAGGGGCAAAAATAACATGGAATCAACATCTTTTATACCTTTTATCCGTTTCATGGAGGTGGGGATCAGTCACCTGGGACACAGACTGTTTTTGTATGGCGTCTACATGTCAGAAGGCTGAAAACCAGGTTGTTTTTAATTTACTGGAATTTTTACACAACTCCCACATTTTATACTGCCGCTTGTGTTTTTAGAGTGAGCAGAATTGTTAATTTTTTATTAGAAGTAAGAATGAGGGAGGAGAAAGAAAGCATGTGATTTCTCATTGTGATCTATCAAACTATCAACTCATGAACACATTTATGCTCTAGGAGGATAACCTCAATTAGACAATGTAGAACCCGTGGTCTACTTTTATCAAATGTGACCAACAGAAGAAACTTTGTAAAACACATGCTGAAGCGGAGCAAATGGATGGTGGTAAAAGTACAGATATGCCTCCTGAAAAATGTCCTGTATGATGTTATAGTTCTGGGAATCCTCACCACCAAACAGGTCTGGATTAGCTCTGGTCTTTACCAACCCAAATCACCTTGGTGCACATGACTCAGCCCGACAAAAGCATGAGAAAAAAAACTCCTTTATTGAAAAACTATACAATGGTAGCGCTATAGTGTGGATTCATACGGTGGAGAAGCTTCAAGCTGATGAGAAAACAGGACACAAACATCAGGCCGTTTCTGTGGGAACGCAGCGAGCGAGGATCCCGCCGATGTACGCGTTGTTTTTGGAAACCAGCTCCTGCTTCATTCTCCTGAGCTCCGCCTTCACCTCGTCCTCAGACATGGTGGCAACAGGAAGTGACTTCACCTTCTGCAGGAAGTCTTGGATCAGGTTTTCTCCCACCTGAAAGAGCAGGGGGTCACTCAACCGGTCGGCGGCTCCCTTACAGACACCGGCTGTAGTGGTGGAATGGTTGTGTTCCTTGTGTCGTCCCCCCCACCCCCCCGCTCTTATCGCTGGGCAGGATTGCGGAAAACCGAGCCCTACCTGTTTGTCGGTCCGCTGTCTCTTGGCCTCGGGCTCGTCCTCCTGCTCAGACTTGTCCCCAGCTGGCTCCTGGAACTCTTCCAGCTCCTCGGCCTTCTCTTTCGCCACCGCCAGCACCGACGGCGGGAAGCTGGCCAGCTCCGCAACGTGGATTCCAAAACTCTGGTCGCAAACGCCTGAAGACGGAGAAAACTCCTCCGGTCAGGTCAACGGTTACAGACGGGTTTTCTTTGGTTATCAAATAACAAAATGAGACTAATAGTGATGTGTTGCTAAGGATGCATCTCTAACTGTAACGCTAAAATGTAACAATACATTTCTACAAATCAATTACATGCGGTCATTAATTGGAGAAAGACCATAAAACATCTAGTTAGACAAAATCTACGAACAAAAAAACAATGAGGACGTTTGCTTTCTTTGTGGAAAAAAAAAAAAAAACAGCTTCGCAGCTCATTCTTAAACTTGGGCGCTCAGCGTTGGGGGGCGAGGGGCGGCCACCTGCTTTGACCCGGTACAGCATGGTGAGCGTGTCGTGCGAGGTCAGGGCCGTGACGTGCAGGTTGTGGACGGTGGGCTGCTGGGCGGCCAGCGCGGTCAGCTCGTGGAAGTGCGTGGCGAAGAGGCAGAAGCAGCCCACGGCGGAGGCGATGTGCTCGCTGATGGCCCAGGCCAGCCCGAAGCCATCGTAGGTGGACGTGCCCCTGCCCAGCTCGTCGATGATGATGAGCGACTTCTCGGTGGCCGACCTGCGAGGGGGGGGGGGGGGGTGAGGTAGGGGAGGAGGAGAGGCGACGGGACCTTTGGTTTCGGAGGCTCTGCTTGAGACGGCGTTCTCACCGCAGAATGGCAGCGGTCTCCAGCATCTCGGCCATGAAGGTGGACACTCCCTTTACTTGGCTGTCTCCTGCTCCCACTCGGGCCAGGACGCTGTCAATCACGCTGAGCTCCGCCTTCTCGCAGGGAACGAAGCAGCCGATTTGAGCCATGAGGGCGATGACGCCCACCTGCCGGATGAAAGTGGACTTGCCGCCCATGTTTGGTCCTGCAGACGAGAAAAAAAATAAATAAATAAAAGCGTTATCCGAGGACCTTCCTGCCGTGGCGCTCGTCGCATTTCTGCCGCCCTTTCTCACCCGTTATGATGTAGAAGCTCCTCTCGCCCTGGACGAAGGTGATGTCGTTGGGGATGAAGGCGGTGTCGGCGTCCGTCTCCATGCAGGGATGCCGGGCCTGCAGCAGCTCCATGCGCCTGCAGCCCTCGTCTAAGAGGCGCGGCCGCACGTACGGGACGGGAGCGGAGACGGACGCCACGGCCAAACTGACCGCGCCGTCCAGCTGGGCGATCACGTCGCTCAGCGTTTGGAGGGGGTCCACGTAACCTGGTGGTGAAAAGTTAGGGAGTGACCGGCGAGCATGTGCAGGCCTCCAAAAGGATTTGGGAGATAAAAGGGTTGCCGGCAGACCGCGGCCTCACCGATGCTAACCGCTATTTAAACGTTAAAAGGCTGCACAGTTTTAATGACCTTTGCAGGAAATGTGAAGGAAATCAATTACTAACCGTCACGTAGGGGCAGATTAGAAAGTAAGAATTCATGATCGTTTCCACGTAGCCAAGAGTCTGTTGGTCAAATCAATGCCATGCTGACGGGACACAGTGAGCAGCATGTGATGGGATTCCGCACCTGAGGCAATGTTGATGATCTCTTTGACGATGGCGTTCTGGGCCTCCTCGTACTCCTCCCTGCTTTTGGTGTATTCCTCGTTCAGGGCGCTCAGCTTGCTGCGAAACACGTGAGACAGCACATTCAAGACCTCGGGCCATCAGCTGACCGCGAGGAGCGGGGGCCGTCCGAGAGTCCCCGAACGGCCCCGCAGAGGCGCCGGCGCACCAGCGGGCCGACCTGTTGGTGAAGCGCACGCCGTTCTTCTGGACGTCCAGCGTGGTGAACTTCTTGTTGTTCCTCAGGCTCTTCTCCTCCTTGCACGTGACTCGCAGGTAGAAGCCCAGCACGGCGTTGGACTCCAGCTTCACCGTCTTTCCGGCATCCAGACCTGAGGCACAGCGGCTCAGACAAGGTCTACATCCAATTTGACATTTTCTAAATGTTAGCTTTTTTTTTCTTTGTCTTTCACTAAACAACCACTGGTGGGCTCACACTGTCCTGTGGTTTAAGGGGTTCCCTTTTTTGCTGGAGAAAGATTCCTTTTGCCATACCTAACCCCCCCCCCCGCCACAATGTCCACTAAATCCAGCCCTGTGTCAGCGGCAGGAGCTCTCATAACTGGGAAGTTGTTGATCAAAGTGGACCGTGTACAAGCGAACATAAATTTCATCTTTTGGAAATGACAAAGGGGAATGGTTTGGATAAACAACCACTTCTGTGGACGATTTCATGGCAAAAGCACAATCACACAGTGTTGTTGTCATAGATGCAGACTAAATGTTCAGCTCTGTTTTGTTTATTTTGGGGGGTTTTTAAGGTTTTGTTGGCTCCAATGGCCTTTACATTAAAAGCAGTGTGGCAGTAAAAAGGGGAAAAGAGAGGGGGAGACGCGTGGGAAACGCCCATGAAGTGGAATTAAGTCCAGGCCGCCTGCACAGGAGCCCAGAGCGCCCACACGCAACGCACTGGGCTAAAAGGCGTGCCCGGACATGCAGCTTTAGAAGAACTGCAGCACATGATGAGTGCGTGACCGAAACGATTCGCCGTGGCCTTTTCCCCCCACACACACACACAACTCCCCAAAAAACTCAAATCTGTTCTTGGTGTTGTAATTACCAAGTTCTCTGGCTGCGGCGGAGAGCACCGTCTGCATGTTCTTCTCCAGCGCGTCCATCTTTTCTCTCAGCTCGCTCAGGACCGGGTCAAAAGACGCCTTCACCAGGAACTCATGGTGGTCGATCTGCACGATGCCCACCACAAACAAGGAAAGACACCTTTTAAAGTGCGAATGAAACACTGACGTCATCACCACTCAGGCACGAGCACAAAAAAATAAACAAACGCAAAAAGAAGAAAAAACCTGGTTCATGTCCAGTGTGGTTTCAATCATCTCCTGGTACTTTGTGAAGTCGTTCTGGAGGTCTTTGAGAGGAGAGGTGAACACAGTCTGCAGCAGAACATGGTAGCTTCCTACAAAACACACACACACAGACGTGAAAACACTGCAGATTACAGACTTATAAAACCCAAAAGTGTATCTTATTTAAGTCTGATGTGTTATATATTTATTATTGCAGAGAGCAGTCCTGGTACTTCCATACAAATCCAAATAGTAACAAAACAAACCGAAACAAGTTGTGAAATACAATGCTTCTGTAAAGTATGTGGCCTTCACTTGCTAATGTGGATGCGTTTGAGTACACACAGTTTGGACACCACGTGGCCCCTGGAGGCAACTTAAAAATAACCGAGCATCACTGTGCAGCCCTCAGCCGAATGACATGTGAATAGATAAGAATACGATACAGAGTGTGGTACCAAACAGCCCTCCTGAGCATCAGTTACGCTTCTCAGAGTCGCACAAGTTGAGAACCTTTAGTCTGCAGCACATGTCCACACACACAAATACACACACACACACACACACAAACGGACTGCAACGGGTCTGCAGGTACCTGAGTATCTCTCCAGGGCAGAGATCAGGGCCGGGATCTGGCTCACGGCCTGGAAGACCCGGTAGCAGTCCTGCAGTGTGGCCGTGTGGCGGTGAAACTTCTTGGCCAGGCGGTGCAGATCAGGAAAGCGCCGCAGCAGGTCCTCCTGGCAGGTCTGCCTCAGCTCGGAGTCGCACACAAAACTCTCCACCAGGTCCAGCCTGTCCCCACACACACGCACACACACAATCACACACAGTGATCTGCTGGTTCTTATGGAAACGGCTAAGTGTGGCAGCTGATCCCCGCCGCTGTAAGATTACCTCTCCTCGATTTTGGCTTTGTCCATGAGCGGCTGTTTGATCCACTGATTGACCAGCCGCTGACCCTGCGGCGTGCGGCACTTGTTCAGCAAACCGGCCAACGAGTGAGCTCCGCTGGTGTCATCGGGTGAGCCCTGAAGGGAACAGTTCAGGTCAATGCCATCAGCGTGGAACCACGAACAGACAACGCACAACCCAAAATTGGTCGAGCACACGGGTCATGGTTATGGACCTGGAAGAGGTTCAGAGCCCTGACGGCAGCGTTGTCCAGCCTCATGTACTGGCCCAGGCCCAGAGTGGTGAGACTAAAGGAGTTGAAGTTGGACTCATCAGAGAGCAATTCCAGGTAACGCACCACTGCAGCCAAACAGGACATGGCCACCTAGGAACAAAGTCAAAAATGACAATCTTCAATTCAGACATTGTCTGAGTGTCCAACGAAAGGATATTATAACGCCGAGTTTCAGCAAAAACAAGTCAAAAGCTGAGTGAATTTCCAACACACATCTAGCAAACACTGATTTATCGTTAGCTTTATCAAAACAACTGGTAAAACTGAAAAATCAGTCAAAAATACATTTCTGATCACAGCGCATAGTAAAGTCGCTGTGTGCCGGTGCAGATCATACATTCTTCTGACGGCTCCATCAAACATAAATGCCTCGATCAGGGTTGTAAGAGAGGTTCTCTGGAGGCGTCTGTGTACCTGTCATCTAACCGTCGACTGCACATGCACGGAAAGCTTCCTGAGCACTGACTTCAAACATGAAGCCAGGCAAAAACAAAAAGCCTCAGGTCAGTTTTAGCTACGAGAAACTTATCAATAGTAAAGGACAAATAAATCTACGTCCTGAAGTGGGATTTTATTTTATTTTTTTAAACCTACCTGCTTGTCCAGCTCAGGCAGGGTGTTGCTCGCCACCGTCTCTCCTTTCTTAGCCCTCAGCAGCCTGTTGAGGTCCTGGACTATGTCTTTGCTACTGAAATCAGCTCGCTTCCTGTCAGAGACCAGCACGCCGCCACGCTGCACCACCTACATCAACAACACAAGCAACGTCTGCCTTCGACTTTTAGAATAACAAAAGACACGTTATGCCAATGAGTTGGAAAAGAAACGGGGTGTTTGTGTTGTTCAAAGAGCGTGCTGAACATGTAAAATGCCACCACGATGCCATCGCCTCCTCGTACCTCCCGCAGCTTGTTCCCATCGGTGCTGCAGTCCCCCTGGGCCAAGAGACACTCCTTGGGGCTTATCTGGACGAGCAGGGACTCGAGGTTGGAGAAGATCTCGTTGTCGGGGAACTCGCACACTCCCATTGTCCTCTGCGCCGCGTCTACGTATCCGACCCCGACCGAGCGCTGTCCGTCGGCCCCGGCCGCGAAGCGCACAGCCACCACTCCGGCACAGCCCTCCGCCCCGGCTCCACCGCCAAACAGAATCTCCTCGAACTGAGTCAGGTTTCCCGGAGATGCCTGAGTGTGCAGAAGAAAACAGAATGACAGCAGCCCACGTTTGTGTTTTCAGGATTTCTTCTCCAGCTGCATGTTTGAAGCTGTGTGGCACTCGGGGGCAGGTCAGGTGGACACACGTCCCACGCCTACCTTGTACTCGATCCTCCAGTCCTGCTCCCTGCTGCTCTTGCTGTGGTTCCTGAACACCTCCACCCTGTACTGCCTCACCAGCAGCAGGTCTTTCACAAAAGCCTCAAAGTTCAGCTTGCTTAGGATCACACTCTCCAGTTTGCGACTCCCTGTTGACCAACAAGAGTAACAATAGAGCTGCCTGCATGCATGCATTTATTCAAATGACCTAAATATAAAGAAATTAGGGAGATATAAGTGACGAATAAACAATATTTCCGCATATCAAGGGACATAAGGTAATGCACGTAACCTTAGCATTACCTAATAAAAAGTAGTCGTACTCGTTTTTTGTTATTATTTTAGTAAACATAATCCGCCATTAACTTAGGTTCAGCTATGGAAACTGGGTGCATGCCGTTACCTGATCCTAAGTTTTTGATGACCCCATTGGTCTTAAAAACCTCCTTGGCTGCAAAGATAGCGTCTTTCCCGTGAACGGTGTAGTAGTCATTGCGGTCAAATATCCTAAACGTGGTGTCTGGCTTCTCCGGCATGGAGAAAATAAAGTTAAGGAAGCCATTTTCGGCTGCACTGTCCATGCAAATGTTCTGCTTCGGTTGCACCGCCATGCTGGAATCTCCCGCCACCGACGGAGCCAAACAGGAAGATACGTAAACTTTTTTTGCTTAGTTGCCATGGAAATAAGGACTGCGACAGCTTTTCGGCACCGTTGATTTTGAAGAATTAATATTGAACACTCACTACCGCCACCTGTTGAGCTGGAGGCTGAACAGACGTGCAGGCAGATGGGGATGAAAAAGAACCCCACAGGTCCAATTTATGAAGGAATGCTGCACCAAATGCTTGAACCAAATTACACCCCCCAGGGCAAAGCACACAATCCCATTTAAAATGCAAATGAATTAACTAAAACGGAAGGGCTTTATGCATTCATCTTACTCTTAATATCTAAAATGGTAAAAAATAAAAATAAAGATTTGATACGTCTGAAACCACAATTCCAAAAAATGTTTGGAGGCTGTGCAGAATGCGAATATAAAAATGTATGCAGTGTTGAACACAATAATTTCCCTCTGGGATTATTAAAGTATTTCTGATTCTGATTTTGATTCTGAACAGTTCACTTTAATAAAGATCCAGTTCACAGAAGGATATGGAGGAGATAATAGATGCTGACAAATTGATATTTAATAATTTCATCAAATATATCAGCAGAAAAAAGAATAAAAACTTTCTACAAAATAGGCTGCAAAAATATGTGGTACTCACAAGAAACAGCTTGGTTAGTTTGGTCAAAAATGGTAGTGTGCAGAAAGAGAAGACTTTTAAAAGGAAGAGTCTCCAAGATATTAAGAATAACTATCGGCAGTAAGCAAAAAAACTGAATTCAGAATGAAGGCATAGCAATGGTCTTTTGACCCTCAAGGAAAACTTGATTCTAAACAGACTTTGTATAGACACCTCACAGGATCATGCGTGTCGGAGCTATCCTCAGTATTTGAACAGAACTGTACCTATTATCTCATTAAGATGCAGTCCGCTTTCATTTTCACAAGAGCAATGGCACATCAGCAGGATGGAAGCATTTCACTTTCTCAAAAGGAACCAAGATCCATCTAATTTTTTTTATGACATAAAAAAATGTTAGTGTGATGAATTTGCAGTTTCTTATCATTACAAAACTTTTTTTTAAATTAAAAAGATTTTATATAAAACTTTACCTAATACATTATTGACGTAATCATTCAACCTGAAAAACCAAACTCCTTCATGCAGCTATTCAGTTAAAAGCAAAGGAGGAAGGTTTGGTGACAGTTACTAGGAGAAACCTCTTTGCTTCCAACAAGCTTGATCTAATTCCATTAGTGAAGCCACTCTTCATGTGTTTCCACAGGCTCTAGGGGAGGAATGAGCTGTGTGTTCCCAATTCACACGTTCAAAAATATGACCACCTTTCCCTATCTAGTCAGTAGACGGAGCCCCTGTGGGCAGTCTCAATCTGATCTTGGCAACTTTTTCACTTGATAAAATGAGGATGGAGTTCATGAAGAAGGCAGAAAATCAGAATGACCTTCTGAATCACACGTTACAGCAGGCTTTAGAAAATTATCATTTTACATTTAATAATTGTATAGTACTGTATTTTTATGATTTTGTCCGTTTGCCATGCACTGATTTATTTTACAAATGTCTGGGTGTTAAAAGCATAGTTATGGACAAATGTCTACACAATTTTTACATTTATTACAAATGTAATGCACCATTGAATAAACAGTTAATATACTTACTCTGCATGACTAATTGGGAGCATGAGTATAACACAGTGATGTTTTATTAGACAAAATGTTACGATTAGACAAAAAATGTATACATATCGATGAAATAAATGAAATAAGTTCTGCAATATTTGAAAAAACCGCAACTAAAAAGGGACAAGTCTAAAACACTATATATAAAAGAAGAGGATTTTTTGCTCTGAGAGTCCAGCACAGACACGACCTGAAATAAGAGATGCATCTGGACTTTCAGTTAATCCATACTGCTCACTGAGGGGGCTCATCAGAAATGGAGAAAAGGTGTCTGACAAATGTACACAAGAGGTGAAGCTCGTCTCTTTTGAAACAGTGAGGGATTCTCTTGATAAATTGCTGTGCTTCTTTCAAGATTATACAAATGAACGAAGAAAGACTTAAAACTTCCACACACTAGCTGAGACAACACGAAGAGTGAAATGAATTGCTTTGTAGAATTTATTGCATGTAACTCAGAAGCCATTTTTTGGAATGACATAACAAAAAATGATGATAGATGCCAAACACTGACCCCATTCAAATCTGCATAAATTACCGTGAGCAAATCCAACATTTTATTTTTTAATGAAAGTTTAAAAGAAAGGCCGATTTCAGACCTAAATGCTTTTGAAAATACAGTTTGATTGTTATCTCAGGACCCGTTAAAGATCAGCTCACCCCTCATTTCTAAGCATTCGCTGTTAAAGAAATTTTGCCGGGAGTGCCCAAACATTTGATTTTCGCGGATTAGGGGCATAAAAAGCCTGACTTTCCCTAGAAAAAGAATACACCTATATTATATACATATATATGTCATGGGTCTTTCGGGCTATTTATGAAAGCGTTTGTAGAAAAGAGGCGCAACATAATCGGAACCAATGCATTGGAGATACGCTAAATGCATTAAGTGTCAAGTGATGCCTGATGTAGAAAATCTGTTGTATAGTCCACCTCATGCATTGAGGGGAGGTGAGTGTCTGGGGGAGGGTGGGTGATGACCCTGTTGACGACACGGTGTTTTTTTTCCTCTCTTTTGACGTAGGAGGCATCCTGACGAATGAGAATCTGATGCGCTCCCAGCGGCTCCATAAAAGCAGGGGAGCATCAGAAGGGAAAGCAGCCAAGAAGTCTCACCAACTCATCCCAGCCCGGACCTTTCCATCTGCTCTTCTCTCTCTCTCTCTGTTATCCCTCGAAGAATCAACAGGCGAAAATGAACTGCATCGAAAAAGTCGACGCCGTGGAGGAGTTCCACTGCAACAACGGCTTCAGTGACCTCATCATAGACGCCAAGAAATCCGCGGCCGTGCACCGCAAGCACGAGACGTCCCGCAAAGAGGCCGAGGACGAATCCCGCCTACCTGCGCTGGAGGCCGCCTACACCAACATCCTGCGGGATCTCGGGGAGGACACGGACCGGGATGGGCTGGTGCGCACGCCGCTGCGCGCCGCCAAGGCCATCCAGTTCCTCACCAAAGGCTACCACGAGACCATCGAAGGTGAGTCATGCATCCACCGTTTGAATAAAAGAAAAGAAACACCACACCAGATACAGCAAATGTGAACCTGGCTCTACTCTTTAGACAGGAACTGATGAGGGAGTCAAAAAGTGATGTATGGTGACTGGCAGTGAATTGAATTATTATCTGACCATGTTTTCTTGAACATTACTCTATTGAGTGAACAGATATACAGAAACCAATGCACCAAACTCTAAATTCTGAATTTCATTTGGACACATAAATATCATTGTCCAAATATATTTGTTAAAAAGATTAATTGGATAAAGATTTGTTGAGTTATCACTTATTAGATATGTATCTACCACTGTAGAATATTTTCACGTCAAAGCATTTGTAAGCACAATCCACATTCTTTGAAAGCCCCACAGAGGTAACATGGAAGTGCATGTGTGTTTGCCCCCAACAGACATCTTAAACGACGCTATCTTTGATGAAGACCATGATGAGATGGTGATCGTGAAAGACATTGATATGTTTTCGCTGTGTGAACATCACTTGGTGCCCTTCTTTGGAAAGGTAAGTTTGAATTTGTGCATCGACCAAATAAACAACACTGAACGGCAGTGCAGATAAGGAATAACAAACCCATAAGTTATTTACCTTAAAAGCAGAATTTTTGTAGCTGAATCTGCCCTTAGCTGGCATTATTTGGTTGTTTAAGATCCAGTCTGGATGGTTACACTTTCCCACCCTTTGCTCTTGTGATCTGACCTTTGCTTCCACTGCTTGTCATCTCTCCAGGTTCACATCGGGTATATTCCAAACAAAAAAGTGGTGGGGCTGAGCAAGCTGGCAAGGTAACACCGAACACGCACACCCTCACACACTTACTGAACTCCCCCCTGCTGCCACTGTAGCTGTGTGTTTCTGGTGTAGGAGATGGGTGACTGCGTTCTTCTGTTATCTCAGTGCATTGACCTAGAGGCTTTCAGTCTGTGCTCGATGGTCATCATTTAGTCCCTTCATCAGGCACACTCACGGACACAAGTCTAAGATCTGTCCACCCGAGCGAAGACAAAATCCCTTCAGTCCTGTGGGAATCCCTCTTTCTCTCCCTTCTCTAAAATCATGCAACAAATCTAAAGACACAAACACAGAATAACATTTAGAATTAGCGAATTCAGCATGGTGAATGATTCACAGATAAAGAGTCTATACAGCCGGTTGTCCAGATTAGAGGCCAGGGGTTGAGCTCAGATGCCAGACTGTGTTTATCAAACGATTAATAATTATTATATCTGATGCAATCAGTCCTTGTTTTTTGTGTTCTGATTTTTCTAGGATTGTGGAGATCTTCAGCCGGAGACTTCAAGGTAGCAGCTAGTTATTAAAAAGAAAAAAACACGACAACTGCATTGCAAGTTGAATAGAATTCAGCAAGAATGTAAAATTGGTTTTGTTTCTTTTAGTCCAAGAGCGTCTGACCAAGCAGATTGCAATGGGAATATCTGAGGCTCTGCAGCCCAAAGGCGTGGCTGTGGTCATAGAAGCAGCGTGAGTACAAACCCTCTAACATTAAACTGGGCAAATAGATTTGTTTCATTAGATTTTGTTTCGGTCTTCTCTGCCAAAGTCCCTCTTACTTGACACTGAGAGTTTATAAACCGAGTTTGATGTGGGTAAATCTGTGGCATCAACCTTTTAAAAGCATTATCTTGAGCCGCTGGCATTTCTTCAAAGCATGTCAAAAAGCTTAACCAAGACACTGAGACAAAAGTGCACGTGCGTGGTTGTTTGCAGGCACATGTGCATGGTGATGCGTGGTGTCCAGAAGATGAACAGCCGCACCGTGACGAGCACCATGCTGGGAGCGTACTTGGAGGACCCCAAGACCCGGGAGGAGTTCCTGACCCTAACGATGCGCACCTAACAAACCTCAAACATCCTCCACTCCCAGGCCTCAGCAGTGTGCAGAATCTGTGGGGCTACTGTGGGCCTGCATGTGAATTTCCTTTTGAAAAAATCCTAACGTAACAGATCAGACCAGTTACAGAGCACATAAAGGAACTGCAGGACGTCCAGTTCTGGAGCTGACCTCTGTTCAGACACAGACGCCTGAGGGATTTCAGCACTGTCTGAAATCACTTTGAAAACAACTCACATATTCATGGTGCCTTTTGGGATATATTTTAAGTCTTTATATGGCAATATTGTATTAAACCTGAGTCGAATACTATAACATAGGAGTACTCAGACTTTGAATTTTTTGGTTTGTCTGATGGGACTTTCATTGGTGCTTTACCAAAGTGTTATTGTATTATTGTATTTAGAATACACAGAATTTAGCAGTTTCACAAAGGACGTGTCATTTTTAAATACATTTTTAAAACCTATTATATGACATTTTAAGATGAAAATCAAATGTATTATATTTGTATTCCAAAGAGTGGAGCAAATAAATGCAGTTATGTGATCAATGATTGTGGTGTCATGTTTTCCAGTCTTAAATAAAACTTTATGTCGACAACATAACAGCTGACAGCGTATTGTTTGTGAATGTCAGTCATTTGTTGTGTTATCATTATTCATTAAAATGGAGAAAGATGTTTTATGTCCTACCTGAAATTCAAAGTCAGAGTGATTCAATTTAGAGATTTGTATGGAAGCACATATCAGCACAATTCAATAGTTATTAAAAAATGGGACTATTTTATATTGAGCTGTTGAGTTAAACAGTTAAAGACATTTTAATTTTTTTGCTGCTCAGGATTCTTAGGGCAAGTCTCTACATCCCACAAATTAGGCAGTGTAATTGGTGGGATATGTAAATAAGACAAGCAACGCCAGATCCAGAACTTCAATCCATAGCTTAGTTCAGAAACAAGAAAAAAATAATTTAACAGTTTTGAAGAAAGTAAATCTGGAAAAAAACATCAGGGGAATCAAATGTATACTAAGCAAAATGAAAGACCAACTAAATTAGGAAAAGCTAATAATAAAACCAGATGGATCCAGACTTTCAAACCTTTAACTCATGGTAAGATTTCAAATGTGGGTGCACCTCTGTAGGCTACCCGACTAAACTTGCCTAACTCAGTTATTAGCTTTACTCACATGTTTTGCATTATGGTACAAAAAAGTCAAATGACAACGGGGTTGTAGGAACAAGTGTGTGCACATGTGATTTAATGCCTGAGGCAGAGCCAGCCCTTTAAATATCAAATGTGGGATCCTGTCATTACCCATCACATGAACTATAACCTCATGTGGAGAGTGAGGGGGGAGGGTCACAGCTGAGGGCTCAGTAGCCAGTTTCCAAATTTGATTATGTCAGAGTAAACCAATTATTACAGAACACAAAGGAAATATTTATATGCTGTGCGTAACAGGCTAAAATTATACTTTACCTGCAGGCAGAAATACACAATGATCAAGTCAAATCTCATCTTATCTTTATTTCAATCAAATTCAACACAGAACATACAGTATTGTATAGAGATATACACCTTTTAAAAAGTAAATAATGCAAATGTAAGGACAGAAATTAAAATACACAAAATGTCTTAAGGGTTTTATTTTACAAATAGGTCATAAAAGGTGTTTTTCGGAGACAATGCAACTTGCCTGGGTGAGACCACATCTTCACTAGTTCTATAGCATCATCTTATGGCATTATCAGATCATCCATTATAGCCATCTCCAGATCTCGCTTTCACAGTTAATTTCTCCATTTGTGAAGCTGTTCTGTGATCAATGCCCCATCACACAGATGTCTGCTTGTAATTCTTGGTGTCCAAAACCTTTTTTCCACACATTGCACAGATCCCTGCAGAGGGAAAAAGCAGAGGTAAAGATACAATCAATTGTTTTAGAAAATGCCAACAGCAAAAAACTTGAGAAAATAGCACTACAGGATAGACTTTAGCAGCTTATCTTCCATATTTTGTGTACAGAATGCAACCACCTGCTGTATTCGAAGCAGATTCTTTTACAGGTTCCACGAGATATGCTTTCTGTTAATACTTCTGTTTCAATTTCATCATTGCCTCTAAATACAGTGCAAAACCAACACCAGGAATCATGGGAAATTCACAAAAGGTTCACTGAGAAGACATAATCACCACCGAACAAAGAGAGCAACAGTCTTATCAGCATGTTTACATGTGCATGCTTCCAATATAGTGCAGACTTGCTGAACTAAGTCTGTGGGTGAAGGGCAGCAAAAAACCCTCCACAGCTTACCGACAAAATCCCATCAGGGCCAATGAAAGCCTCAAACCAATCACTTAAGTTAACAAGGTGCACCTGTGAATAGCATAAAGAGTGAAGAAACATGGCAGATTAACTCAGTCTTGTATCAGTGAATCAGCCATACAGCCACTATACTTTTCTTTAATAGCATTCTTTTCCAATGTTTCTTCAGTCAATATGAAGTAAAGCTACGATATAAAAAATATGGTAAGAGTACCATTTCACTGCTACTGTTTATCAGCAGGGCCACAAACACGAACCATATTTATTCATTGTGACTGGAACACAAAACTCATAAGGATATTGGCTCAATGTGCTAAAGATGATACCTTTCTTATAAGCACAGCCTTGGCAGTAGTGTGATCCAGCCTGATGAACTGAGCTCTTACAGATCCTGCAGATAGCGAAGCCTGACTTGCTGTACGGGTCAAACCTGAAAAGGATAAGCATGGCATGTCCATTACTGTAGATGCAGCAGTGTGGTCAACACATTGACGTGTGAGTAGGTTTTGTTTGAATTCTTACAGATTAGGAGGATACTCACCTGGCTTTCTTAGATGTCAGCATCTTGTTCTCGTTAAGCTTACGCCCTCCACTTTCTAAGAAATAAAATTGGATGAAAATGTGATTTCCCCACCTCCAGGATAGAAACACTTAAATTGTGCACACAGATCATAGTGAGCTTATCATTCTCTCCAATATCATTAAAAATAATATTTTGCCTCAAAGAAGATCATTGTTTTACAAAGGAAAACCCCCCAGCCATAAATTACTGTGACCAATTCTGAGTAAAAATCCATTTCAAGTGCCACTGACTTGAAAAGACCGCAAATAAAGTTACATAAAGCTTATATGTTGATAATAACGAAATCGAAGTGAACAATACCATCAAAATACACCAATCTATTTGTTTCGCATTTAAATGGTCTTAGATAGATAAGGAGAAATCTCGCAGAATTTACCGGTTGTATTCCTGGCCCCATCTTTCCAGGTGTCCGGCGTGATAACCTTTCCGAGCTTCTTCTCACCTGTCACGGTCAATAACACAACATATTCAGACAAAAAGCATCCACTTAACTTACATAAAGGCCATACTCAATCAAAACAGCTAACTTCACCAAATGTTAGCCAGCCATTAATACGTTCAAGCCTTTATTGGCAGCATTATCGGATTGAATTTCATAAATACGTTTAGTGTTCAGAGAGTTATACGTACATTTCTCGCAAACCATTTTCCGTTCTGTTTGTTTACGCAGTTAATATGTTTGGCTAGCTACTCGTAGCGTAGCTTTCTCTGTTGATAAAAACTTCCGGTCGTTCCTGATATTTCAAAGCACGTATTTCATTGGTTTAGTTTACAACAATAACGTCATCAATGGTTCCAGTAAAACGTTCAATGATTGGTGAAATTGGACAACTCGGTGGGATCAAGTTAGTAATATTTCAACACTTCCTGTTTTTTGCTGAAGGGTGAGATGTATTTAAAAATACATCTCCATGTGGGACGTGTGAGACTTGTTATCATAAGGTGTTGGATACATTATCAAATTCGGGAATAGAATTTCAGATTTTAAAAGCTTCAGGACTGGACATGTTTGGCAAAAACAGATGAATGATTTTTAGCTGTCTTTATAAACTGTTTATCTTAAATGCAATTTTCTTACATTCGTTTATTGTTTGCATTGACATTTTCATATATTTATGTGAAAATAATCTTAGATTATTTGTACTGCAAATGTCACAAATAGAAATTATTTCTATTTTAAAATGGCACAAATGTTTTTAGTTTATCATTGTCATTTTCTGTACATATGTTATTTTTTCCTTTGTAAAGGAAAATACAGTAGTTTGAGTTATTGTTCTTTACCTGTGCACTGAATTGACTTCAGCTAGACGTTTATTGTGAAGTTCAACCGGAAGTGTTTGGTGTTTACGGAAACGCCTTTCATCTATGGATTCAGCACGTCTTTCAACCCTAACCCCAACAGTTTCGTTAACTTCGGCAATTTTTACTGTAATTTGGTACTCTGCGTTAGTTTCTTGCGGTAGATAGAGGAGGCTGTCAACATGTGGGACCATGAAATCCGAGCCATGGCGTCCACTCACGCCATCATCGCATCGTCGGTGTTCATGGCCACCGTCTTACTGGCGGTGTTCGTGCCGGGCTTCTCCGTGTACGGCATGCACCTGCTGTGGATCTACGCGGTGTCCGGTGCGGTGACCGCTGTCAGTGTGTCCGTGTTCTGGCTGCTTGGCATCTCACCGCCCACGAAAAAGCACACACTGGGATACAAGGTACGAGATAATGTATCAGAAAAGGAGAGTGCTGCGCTTGAGTTAAGATATTACATAGAAAATGTATGGAAAACTAGCTCCACCTGAACATCCATCTAGTTTCAAATAAACAACACCAATCATTATCACTATACTTAGAATAAACTGCAACGATCTTAAGGGATCTTTGTGTCTCTTAGTGTCCTAATATTTGTTATCCAACCGACTGTTCTAATTTACTTTGGAATAAGATTTAACATGAATTTCGAGTTCAAAAGACAAGAGAGCTCTGTATGTGTCCAGCATTTTATTGTGCTAAGTAAAGACTCAAATTAAGCAGCGTAAACAAAACAAAATAAATAGAACCAAAGCCTGTGTATTATCTTTTTCCACAGTGTGTATAAGTTGATTAAAGGATGTACAAATTTGTGCCAAATTCTTTTGATTCTCTTTTGCACAGAAATAGAAGTCTACTAACTTCTTTTAAAACACGATTATTTCCAGAGCAAATTACCACTTTGACAGGATCTTGAAGAACTCTTTTTTTGCTGTCTGTTACTCATTTTTTATTCAAATGATCTTTCCTTCCTCAGCTGTCCAGGCTGTTTCGTTCCTGTTTGTACTTCTTGCTGTCTTGCCTGTTTTTCCACACTGTGGTTGTTCTGTATGGAGCTCCACTAATTGAGTGAGTAGCCTGTATTATCCATGATCATACACGAGTGTTTGTGCCCATGTCAATACATAGTAGAAAGTTGCACATGATAAGTGAATGAAAAGAAAACTTAAGTATAAGAAGCATTTAGGACATTGTTATTAAACAAGTGCTGTTTGTCCGACACATAAAGAACTTCCATCTGTTGCTGTTACAGGGACGATCTAATTTCTTATATTTTTCAGGTCTGCTTTAGAGACGTTTTCACTTTCTGTGCTGCTGACCTCCCTGACCACTCTGAGGTGTCTCTGTGTCCTTGGCCCACACGTCCAGGCCTGGATAAGAGTGTTCAGTCGACATGGGTCAGCACAAGATTGCTTTTTTTTTTTTTTAATCAAGCTCTAATTGTCACATGTGCATATGACATCTTTGTTTCGCTCTTTCTTCATCCTCAGAGCTATGTCTGTGTGGGACACCGCTCTGCAGATTACAGTGGCTTGCACACTGATCGGTGCCTGGCTGGGAGCGTTCCCCATACCTCTCGACTGGGATAGACCCTGGCAGGTCAGCGGCACACATGCAAAAATCCTCACATAGATAAAATGTGTCGAGCAGGATGAAAGTGTTTTTGGTATTTTTTAATAAGAGGAAATCAGAAGTTGGTGTCCTTGAAGGATTGCTTGTCTTCTTCCATAGGTTTGGCCTGTTTCCTGCAGTGTAGGTGCCATGATTGGCTACCTGACCGGGCTAGTTGCTGCTCCAGCTTGGATCCACTATCATCGTAAACATCTCACATACAAATGCAAGTGATGGGAACACATTTGGTTTTGACAATTGTGTTTGTGTGAAGATCGCCGTGGGATTGGGAATCGACTTTTTGCTGATTATTTATGGAGGCGGTTCAGGGTGAAGCTTGTAAATGATTTTGTAACATGCTTTTTGTACAAGGGGATATCTTTGACAAGAATAAAACATTATTCAATGAACAGTGTGCAATTACTTTGGATTTATTTTATTTTAAAAGGTATTCGTTTTTTATTGAAACTTCCTCAGCACCAGTGATGTTTTTTTTCTTTTAACCTGAATCCTAAAATGCTCACACCTGTAGGTGGCGCTGTTGCATCATAACTTTTGTGAGTGTTTCATCCCATTCAAAATAAAGATGAACAACAGAGCTTCATTTGTAAAGAAAAATAAACACTTATATGGTTGGATGGGTATTTATTAAAAACGTTTTGGACTAAACAAACTTACTTTACTACTCATTCTCATTCTCTCTGTTGCTATTCTGCACCTGAAGCTGGTGACTGATGAATACTGGTCCTACTTATACAGCCATTAATCTTCCAACAACTCCATTTCAGCACCCTCCTCCCACCCCAGCTCTCATTCTCATTCCACCTTTTCACATCCTCCGGCAACTGTATTGATTGACTTTCATTTTAGGAGCATTCGTTTTCCTCCTTTCATTCCACCCACACCTCTTGTTCGCCTTTACAATCACATCAACCACAATGAGCGTTAGATTTTCGGCACTGCAATCTCCAGTTGTAAATTGAGTGGAAGGGGGGCGGGCGGGGGGCACAGACAGGACTCTGGGATAAAACTTCAGTCATAACATCAAAGACAATAATAGTTGTCAAAGCTGCCATAAATCCGCCTCATTTTATTAAGATTTGTAGATAACCCGGGGCAAAACCTTCTATTACCCCTGTGCTCCCGCACATAAAACTGTTGCTACGGAGAAGCTGGAAAAATAACTGATGGAAAAAAAGGGGGTTTTGGGGAGAGGGAGATCCCTTCAAGAGGCGAGCATATGCTTACAGCACCAATCAACACCTTTTTTTCATGCTTCAGTCTCTCCCTCCATCTCACGAAATTCAATCTGACTTCATGCTGTTAGCACCGTCGGCCTTGTTCTGCCTTCTTTTTTCTACTTTCTACAGATACGTCATTGCCCTGGCGAGCAGAAAAGCTTTCAAGTGTGGCCACAGGAGAGCAAAGGGTGTGACAAAGCTGATTTCGTCCAGACCCGAGGCAAATCTCACCCTGATTTCACCTCCAGCTGCAGTATGGAGGGAATTTATATTTCCTGGAGAGTGAGGATGAGTCACAGGGGTCAAATCCAGCCAATACGTGCATGTGTGTGCGTGTGTGTGTATGTGTCTGGTTGGGTTCTCTGTTCTTGTTCACCTAATCAATGTTCTTTGTGGACAGAAAACTGGTTTGGGCGCTTTGTTCATGTGCTCAATTCCACTTGTGGTTGTTTCATCTTCGAGACAAGGGGCGCTCTCTCTCTCTCACACATACACAAAAACACTATAGCTACAGCTTCACAAATTGCTCTCCTCATTCAATCTCAGAGAACTTTATTTATTCATTATTTGTTCTCAGGCAACGCTGTTGTGGCACAGCATTGTGGGAAGAGGTGATTTGTCACCCCCTCCCCATCCTTTCCCCTCAGCCGCTTCTGGAAGGCAGTCGTTTGCTCGTGTCTACTTCTGCAGATTTGCGCAGAGGAGAGAGAAACAGACTGTTTAAACCCGGATCTTCTCCACGCCGTGGTAGATGGTGTCCAAATGAAAGTACCCCGAATCATCGCGTTAATGGGCGTGTTGACAAGACTCCTAATGTGGCTGACAACAGAGAATTAACAGTCTACATGCAGGTCTGCTCGCCTGTTGGATCACAACCTGCATATTAAGTGCAAGGTTCAGTTTCAGTTCATGCCAAATGTTTCCAGCAGCAGCAGGCAGCTGATCCCTGTGTTATCAGAGTTAGAGCTACCAGCCTGGCCAAACAAGCCCAGAGAGAGAAGTTTTCTACCCAGAAAAGAAAAGTGAACCAAATCGAAGTGGGCCCTGACTGTTGAATTCATCTGGAAAACAAAGACAATTGTGCCAACTGAAAGTTAACACTGCTCCTATATGGCCACAAAGGAAAAAAGTTATTTCCAAAATGCTGACAAACAAGGAGGCTTTTTGTGAAAGAACAGTATTCTTCTGCATCAATTATAGACTGTTGTTTACTCAGTAAGATCTGCTATCATCTAAAAAATTTGGCCAGGGGGCTGATGACAGTACAACATTTTGTTTGGATTACCTACTCTTGTTTAATCTGAAAACCTATTAGCAATCTAAATTAAACCTCATAGAACATAAAAAGCATTACAGCTTTCTGGAGCATAAAAGACCATAACAATCAGAATGATTGTTTTTTGTTAGAAAAGACTTTGCAACCTGCAGGAACGTCAATGAAGATATTCTTTGATAAGAAATTAATACTTATATCATAACCCTAATCAGAGGGAAATTAAAACAGGGATGGAGGGGAATAACATTTTCAATGGCATTGCTTCTTCTTAAACTCAACACACCAGTTACGTATTTCGAACGTTGCAATTTTTTTTTTGTGACAGAAATGGCTCCTTATGCAGGACATTCAAGCATGTCATTTGATGTAATAATGGAAAAACCTTCCACACATCGATGTGTACAAGACGCAGCTTGAGAAAAATTGAGTTTGGATTTTCCTCTGATAAGTCACACCCATCATCCGGTTAACAGCTTTCCTCTCACACCTGTCCTCCCTCTCCTCACATCCCACTTGCTTCCTGCGTTTGAACTCCCCCTTTTACCCCACTTTTCCTACGTTCATACTCCTTCCCTGTGTGCTGCACTGGCTGTGGTAGATGTCTCATGTCGCTCCTGTACGCTCGTGACAAAAGGACCCATTGTTACTGAGGGACGTTCAAGGGGGCTGTGATGAGGCAGGGGGTGGGGGTAGGGGGGATAGCATGAAGAGGTTCCTGAAGGATTCTTCTTTTTTAAAAGAAAAAAAAAAGATCACCATCAAACCCTTTATTGTCTAAAAAATTTGAATATGAAAACAACATTATATCTGGGGCTGCCTCCATGACACCAACAAGACTAAAGCGCTGAAGTGATTCGGGGATTTTCTTCTTGTGCCATCAGCAGATTGATATTTTTAATTCCTTGGTGTGAAAATAATCAGAACGATTTTCAACAGCAAAAAGCGCTGCCGGTGACTGGTTCCACTCCAGGGCCTAGAACCAATTTACTGGAAATTATTAAACCAATTTCCTTCTGTGTCAGAATAATGGTGCAATGACGGGAATTTGGTCAGAGAAAAATAAACAGTGGGCAGATAAAAGCTAAACTACTGAGCTGTTTTTCTATGGCAATATTGTGTGATATTTGACAACAGATTAAAATCTGAAAATCAGATTAAAATCTGACATCTCTGAATATTGTACGGGTTTTATGCTTCATTTTTCACAACTGTAGACCGTCCTCATAACTAATTCATCTCGCTATCCAGTCTAGTAGGTCTGGGTCATCCCTAGTGCTCTACCCAGGTAGCTATGCTTGACAGATGAAGGGGGAACCAGAATTGTTATGAAAACATCATTCTCTTTATGGACATTCAAGTAACATAAAGACTAGATCTGTGCAGTAATTTCAGCTTTACTTACATGACTGTTGACCTCCCAAAGAGGCAGACGTGGAAAAACACAATTTTCTCAGTTGGTCCACATTTTCAGACGTTCAGTACCTGGTTATGTAAATCAATTTCTTAACATTTATATGTACATGCATGTTCAAAAGAAAGTGGTCCACCTCCAAATGGACAAGCTTAGCTTTAATCAACATGGTTTTACTTTTATTAAAAGGACATTGATATGCATCACTCTATTGAACTAAAGCAAACATCTGTAGAATTGACATCCTAACAAAGTCAACCAGGGGAACCTTTATGAATGAGGGGGAAACTAATTCTGACCCCCTGGTGAGACCAGACAACATCTGACTATCAGATATGTCTACTTAAATTTTTTTCTGGCCCCCTTTTTGTGCCCCTCCATCTGGCCCTCAGCAGTGAACCACATCATAAAACTGCACCGTGGTCATCTCTGGCTTTATAATTTCCTTGTCATCTGGCTGAAATGGCTTAAAAAAAGCCACATTTTCCTTCAAAAGGAAATCAGGTGAAGTGGCCGCTAGTCACAAGTGTTTAAAGGCTGAACATCATGTACCCCCAGCGTACCCCCAGCCTCACCCAAAGGCAGGAAGTACAATAATGTACTTCAAGGAAAAAGCATTCGATTGCACTACTGCTGATGATTACAGCCTAGAGTCTACTATACATATCCACATCACACTTGAGAAAGGAAATTGCTCAGATGTCTGCGAAACTGTGAGTGCAATAGGTAAAGAAAAAATGGATCTGTGAAGAAAAAGGGGAAAAAATCAATAGGTCTTGCAGAAATGTGCATGCAGAAATAGGAATGTTATTTTTAAAAATCCAATTCAGGGTAGGGGGTGCCATGTTTTCTTTTTTGTTTCAAATGGATTGTCAGAAGAAAAAAAAGTGCTGCTGGAGGCAGTGTGATAAACCAAAACAGAATGATCCTTCTTATTTTTGCTGGTCTTTATACAGCAAATCCCAAGTTAAACTAAATGAAAACCAGTGCAAAATAGTGTATTATTACTATGTCAGCAGCCACAGGAAAATATCAAAATATGGTCACAAAGTTAGCCTTTGAAATTTGCCCATTCACAAATGCAACGTGAACCAAAAAAAAACTAAGCACGTTGAGCTCATGGATTTTTCAATAATCAAACACTACACGAAGAGCTTGATGTGTACATCAATGAACATCAGATGTACCTACACTGCTGCCATAAGCAGCTCATAGGATATCTTAGGTGTGATTAACAGAGTTTTGGGAGTGCATCAGTGTAGTTTCACTAAGGCAACCGTACACGTTAATTCAACATCTGTATTGTGTCATTTCAAGGTACCCCATACTCTTTCATTCAGCATCGTTTAAACAGAAATACAGGTCGTTGTGTTTGTGAATTAAGAATAAAACATATTTCAAATTGCAACACAAGTTTGCAGACCCCTGTCCCCACTTACATATGTTTCCCATGGCAACAATGTTGCACGGAAACATTTAGATCAACATTTAGACAAAGGAGAAAAAGGCAGCTACTAGCAGGTTCATCGCAAGCAGTGGTGAGGAGCATGTGACATCACACCAGGGCCCACACATATGAGGCCTGGATGAGGCGACACGTAAGCCAAGTGAGCAGCAGCTCCGCTCCAGACAGGGTCTCCTTCCTGCTTGCTGATGAGCTGCTGGCATCA